CCTCCGGAGCTCTCTGGTCTTCGCCCTCGAGCCCGGGCCCCTGAGAGCCGCGGTCTTCGCCCGCGATCCCGGCCCCCTGACTCTTCCTGCCGCAGTCTTCGCCCTCGAGCCCGGCCCCCTGAGAGCCGCGGTCTTCGCCCACGGGCCCAGCCCTCTGTGAGCCGTGGTCTTCGCCCTCGAGCCCGGCCCCCTGACTCTTCCTGCCGCTGCCCTCGTCCTCTAGCCCGGCCCCCTGACTCTTCCTGCCGCTGCCCTCGTCCTCTAGCCCGGCCCCCTGACTCTTCCTGCCGCTGCCCTCGTCCTCTAGCCCGGCCCCCTGACTCTTCCTGCCGTTGCCTTCGCCCTCGGGCCCGGCCCCCTGACTCTTCCTGCCGCTGCCTTCACCCCTCCATGGTCCCCATTTTGGACTCTGCCTTGCCCCCGGGCCGTCCGCCCGAGACCCCTTCCTGGTCCTCTGTCTTGCTCCCGGGCCGTCCGCCCGAGACCCCTTCCTGGTCCTCTGCCGTGCCCCTGGGCTGTCAGCCCAAGCCCGTCCTCCAGACCCCCTCCACCCACCCTGGTGGCTTAGTGATGCGTCCCTCCTCCGGACCCCCTCCACCCACCCTGCTTAAGGTTTTGGACTTTTTTAGTTTTGTTTTGGGACGTCTGGGATCCGTCCCTTGAGGGGGGGGTACTGTCACGATCTGTCTGTGTTGTTGTTTTGTCTTGTCTTTTTCTATCTTTGGGTTTCCTGTTTTATTTTGTAAATTGTTCACCCCCGTTTCCTGCCTGTTGCTTTCTGTCTGTTTTCCCTCCCTGATTACCCGATTGTGTTCACCTGGTGCCTCTGTGTTTTCTCCTACCTCCTCACCTGTGTCTTGTTTGTGTGATTAGTCTTGTGTGTATTTAAGTTCTGGTTTTTCTGTCTGTCTTTGTCGGTTCGTCTTTTGTTGTTGACTGTGTTCACCGGTGAGTGTTCTGTCTGTCCAAAGTTCTATTTCACTATCCTTGAAATAAAGGTATTATCAGTTTATCTGCATTTGGGTCCTGCTTCCTTCGCTCTACCGTGACATTATCATTACTTTGAGAAAAAAGATTATTAATGTAACTTTTAGAAGGGAAGATATGGTCATTTGTTCTGGGAATGTCATTTTCGAGCCTGAGACCTGAAAAACAGGCTCAGTGCTTAACAGGTTATAGGGTATATCTATGTATTGTTTAGTACAGTATTACAATACATTGAGATAGACCCTAATTATAGTGTCTTGCCTAACAAGTTGTGTAGTGTCAACAATGCTTGTCTCAAAAACGTTGTTAAGTATATTTAATGAACTAACGCATATTAACATATAAAAGTCATTTAAAATGAACCACAGTACCCTAAGGAAACAATTGCACATTTCCATTTGAAGAAGAGATATTATAAATGTTTCCTTTGCAAATAACCAGAGGTGGGAGAAGTACTCAGATCGTGTACCTATACCAGACTTAGGAATACTCTTACAAGTAAAAGTCCTGCAACCAAAATGTTTCTCGAATAAAAGTACAAAAGTATTAACATGGAAATATTCTAAAAAGTACTCATTAAGCAGATTGATCAATTTCAGAATGATATCTATGATATGTTTTTAATATAATTAGTGATGCTTTAAAGTGTTCTCAAAGCTGGTAAAGGTGCGGCTAGTTTGAATGACTTTGTATACTGCAGGGTAGCTTGTACTCCAGGTGGATCTAAAGTCTGATTTAAGTATTGATTATATTTCACGTCATTTATCCACATCTGTAAAGTAACTAAAGTAACTAAAATAAATAAACGTAGTGGAGTAAAAGAACAAAGTAGCATCAAATGGAAATACTCAAGTAAAGTACAAGTATCTCAGAATTGTACTGTTATTTACCCCACTGCAAGTAACTTCACTTCAGTGGAAATAACCATTAGTTTTGATGTACAACATAAAACATTATTAGACACAGTGGAAGCACAAAGTCCTGCTCAAAAGAAATGAAACACTTGGAACAGTACAATACCAGGCAGGTGCTCTTCACACGATCCCTCCTGTCCAGTTCAACCTGAAACTCCCACTAAATAATTTAGCATCTGGCAGCAACAGTAAACACACAGCACAGGTAGAAATTGGTTGATGTCAATGATACAACAACATCCATACTGTGCATTTTACAATGCAAAATGATACTGAAGTAACAACTTGAATTAAGCTAATTTGTTAACTTAGCTTCAGGAGCAGGCCTCAACCCCATCTCTAATCATGGCTTAGTCTATACCCAAACATCCAGCCATCGCTTGTCTCCATTCTCTCAACCAGCCCTCCCTCTCCCTTCTACTCATACATTTCCCTTCCTACCTCATACTTAGCCAAACCCCTTCCTCCCTCCACCCATCGACGCCCCTTCATCGATTCATCCCCACATCCATACAGCCCTCAAGCCTTACATCCCATCATCCACTAATCCCTTCATCCCTGCTTTCCCTCATCCCTTCATGTTGACATCCCTTATCCCTTCAGCCCTATATAGCTTATCCCTTCATCCCTTCATCCCTCCTTTTCCTCATCCCTTCATGCTGACATCCCTTATCCCTTCAGCCCTATATAGCTTATCCCTTAATCCCTTCATCCCTCCTTTCCCTCATCCCTTCATGCTGACATCCCTTATCCCTTCAGCCCTATATAGCATATCCCTTCATCCCTTCATCCCCCCTTTCCCTCATCCCTTCATGCTGACATCCCTTATCCCTTCAGCCCTACATCCCTTCATCCGTACAACCCTCTATCCCTTCATGCTGACATCCCTTATCCCTTCAGCCCTATATAGCTTATCCGTTCATCCATACATCCCTTCATCCCTACATCCCTACATCCCTTCATCCCTTCATCCCTTCATCCCTATATCCCTTCATCCCTCCATCCCTTCATCCCTCCATCGCTTCATCCCTTCATCCCTACATCCCTTCATCCCTCCATCGCTTCATCCCTTCATCCCTACATCCCTACATCCCTACATCCCTTATCCCTTCAGCCCTATATAGCGTATCCCTTCATCCCTTCATCCCTCCTTTCCCTCATCCCTTCATGCTGACATCCCTTATCCCTTCAGCCCTACATCCCTTCATCCGTACAACCCTCTATCCCTTCATGCTGACATCCCTTATCCCTTCAGTCCTATATAGCTTATCCCTACATCCGTTCATCCCTTCATCCCTACATCCCTTCATCCGTTCATCCCTACATCCCTACATCCCTTCATCCCTCCATCCCTTCATCCCTTCATCCCTACATCCCTTCATCCCCCCATCCCCTTCATCCCTCCATCCCTTCATCCCTACATCCCTTCATCCCTCCATCCCTCCATCCCTTCATCCCTTCATCCCTTCATCCCTACATCCCTACATCCCTTCATCCCTTCATCCCTACATCCCTTCATCTCTACATCCGTTCATCCCTACATCCCTTCATCTCTTCATCCCTACATCCCTTCATCCCTTCATCCCTACATCCCTTCATCCCTACATCCGTTCATCCCTTCATCCCTACATCCCTTCATCCCTTCATCCCTACATCCCTACATCCGTTCATCCCTACATCCCTTCATCCCTACATCCCTTCATCCCTACATCTCTCCATCCGTACAGCCCTCTATCCCTTCATGCTGACATCCCTTATCCCTTCACCCCTCCTTTCCCTGATCCCTTCATCCCTCCTTTCCCTCATCCCTTATCCCTTCAGCCCTATATAGCTTATCCCTACATCTGTTCATCCCTTCATCCCTCCATCCCTTCATCCTTCCATCCCTCCATCCCTACAACCCTCCATCCCTTCATCCTTCCATCCCTCCATCCCTACAACCCTCCATCCCTATATCCCTACATCCCTTCATCCCTTCAGCCCTATATAGCGTATCCCTTCATCCCTCCTTTCCCTCATCCCTTCATGCTGACATCCCTTATCCCTTCAGCCCTACATCCCTTCATCCGTACAACCCTCTATCCCTTCATGCTGACATCCCTTATCCCTTCAGTCCTATATAGCTTATCCCTACATCCGTTCATCCCTTCATCCCTACATCCCTTCATCCGTTCATCCCTACATCCCTACATCCCTTCATCCCTCCATCCCTTCATCCCTTCATCCGTTCATCCCTACATCCCTTCATCCCTACATCCCTACATCCCTTCATCCCTTCATCCCTTCATCCCTACATCCCTTCATCCCTCCATCCCTCCATCCCTCCATCCCTTCATCCCTACATCCCTACATCCCTTCATCCCTACATCCCTTCATCCCTTCATCCCTACATCCGTTCATCCCTTCATCCCTACATCCCTTCATCCCTTCATCCCTACATCCCTTCATCCCTTCATCCCTACATCCCTTCATCCCTACATCCGTTCATCCCTTCATCCCTACATCCCTTCATCCCTTCATCCCTACATCCCTACATCCGTTCATCCCTACATCCCTTCATCCCTACATCTCTCCATCCGTACAGCCCTCTATCCCTTCATGCTGACATCCCTTATCCCTTCACCCCTCCTTTCCCTGATCCCTTATCCCTTCATCCCTCCTTTCCCTCATCCCTTATCCCTTCAGCCCTATATAGCTTATCCCTACATCTGTTCATCCCTTCATCCCTCCATCCCTTCATCCTTCCATCCCTCCATCCCTACAACCCTCCATCCCTTCATCCTTCCATCCCTCCATCCCTACAACCCTCCATCCCTTCATCACTACATCTCTTCTACCTTCGTATTTAACTTGTGCGTATTTGAAGTGTCTCATCTCATCACCCCCTCCATATTAATGAATTGTTACTTCTTCCATTAAACCTACAAACACCATACTGTCGTGGCGTGGTCCTCGTAGTAAATATGTTGTTGTTAAAGAAAGAGTCAAGCCCAAGGAAAGTTTCCGTGACTTTTATTTTAAAGTTTACAAGAACAAACATTTCAAAACTGTAAACAGTTGCACTCATCTTGCACCCCCAGAGGATGAACAATCTCTTCTTCACCTCAGCGTTTTGTGCCACAGATCGAAACAGGGCACCACGTGCAGCCGGACGTATTTCTGTCCACCGGTCGTGCACTCCAGACAGCCGTACACAGTTTCCCGCCGCTGGGGTCCCATGCCGCAGAGCGCGCAGGGCCCCTTGGGGATGTTGTGTTTGAGGAGGTTGACCCGTGTGTGGTTGCTTTCTCTCAGGTAGGCAGTGGACACGTCCGTCATGCTGGCAGATTTCTCATAGTAGTCTGTAACCATGTCATCCATGTATGTGTCAGAGTGGGTTAGCTCCTCAAACGTTTGGTTATCTACACAATGGATGGATAAAGCAAAATGGCAAACATGCAGTAAAATACTTTTGTTTTATTTTGTAAAAAGGCAATAAATATACCTGCTCTAAAAGGGCTTCCATAGATTATTCCAGACAGGAAGCGGCGAAGACGACCCATCGAGAAGTGACCAATGTAACCACCGAGCTGCTCCCGGATCTGCTCCCGCTCAAACCCACCCTGAGACTCCGGGGCTACACAAATATCTGACCAAGAAGAAAAAAATGAATATAGATTGGGGTCAAGAACAAAAACCTTGGATCCATTTCGAATATTTATTCGAATATGTTAACTCCTTTTAGGTTTTGTTCGAATGTTTGATCATTGCTTTAGCTTGTGAGTGTTTTAATAGCAGCTGTTTTAGCAGCTGTGCTCAACATGGAAGCAACCGTTTTTCGTTGCTTTTGATTCAAATAAGGTTGGAACCTTTAACCACAAAGGGAAATTTGGACTTAAACCCTCAATCTCCTGATTAGAAGTCAGACACCTTACCCATTAGGCCCATTATCCTTTAAAACTCAATACACTATCTGCAGTATTACGTTGTGTAAAGGGTGTAATTTCAGGTGCCACTATTGCTTGGTCATAAGTCATAATGACACCGTAACTCTAGAGGCGGAACAGATCCTTTTCATGTTTCTAAGTGAAGACATTGTTATAGTTTTATAAGAATGTGAAGCATGAAGACTGTAGAGGAGCCTCAGGTGCTGATGCTCCCATGAAGGGATGCAAACCTTCAATTTACGCACAAACTACTCCTTATCCTTTAAATGCTCTGTTGACTTTCATGTCAATGTCATTAGTAGATTAGAGCCGGTGATAGAAAAACACTGGAAAGAAAAACTATTTCATTCAAGGGAGTGGTTACTAATTTCAGCACTGTAACAGAACTGAAGAATATGTTTGGTTTTCAAACTTTTTTCAATGTTTTATTCAATATTCTACACTGTACCCAAGAAGTTGTTTCAACAATCATTTTCATAAAGATAAGGAGCATTTTGTGTGTGTTTAGTGTTGAGTTAGAGTAGGTGTTTATTTTACCCAGTCGCCCGTCCAGTCGGACAAACAGCTCGCAGATGCTGAAGGCGATGGTAGTGTGAGCCGGGATGACGATGGCCTTGTCTCGACCTTTAGGATTCCTGCCGTCGTCGATCTGAAACTACATCACAACAGAAAGCTGAGTGGCACACCTGTTTATCAGCCAGGTGACTTTTTGGGAAGAAAAAGACAAAAAGGTTTTGAAGATCTTGTAGTTTTTTTCTTTCAAAAATTGAAATGTTTCGTGTCTTTTACTAGCCATTTTATTAACGTTTATTTAAAGGTCTCCTATTATACAATTTGTAGGCATATATTATAGGTCTCAGATCTATAAAAAAACATGTCTATGAAGCGTTTTGCTCAAAATACCAAACAGATCACCCATTGTCGCCATGCCTCATGCCCCTCTATTTCAGCCCTGTTACAAAAGTGCTGATTCCGGGTCTGGCCCTTTAAATGTAACCGAGCTGCTGCTGGCCACGCCCCTTTGGACCATGCAAGCAGTGAGCTGCAGAGAGAAGAGTATCTACTCAGCAGAAACTCAGCTAAACGCTGTCGTGGTTAAACGCCATATTATGTTCCAAACAAGGATTATTTCTAAAACAGTATGGAGCTGAAACGCTTTCTCTCTCGCAGGTTTACCACAAGGTGAGTACCTTTTATATCCAGCTTTTTTACACATATTCTCACCAGTACAGCGTTAGCTCTGAATGTTAGCGATGCTTGCTAATGTAAACACAGACCATATTACTTCCAAAACGTTGCGCATTGTTTCTGATAGCGGACGATAAGGCCGTGGGCGGAACGTTGCCAGGAGATCAACGTAAAGCCAGCCCACATTTTTATTAACGCGTCATGACCGCAGCAAATCTGGATCAGCTCCGTTGAACCACCGTTTTCAGAGATGTGAAAAAGGAGTAAAAGAGAGAGGGCTGTATTTTCTGACACTTTGTGAGTCTCCTTACACACAGAGGACACATATGTATGTATAAAAGACATCAAAAAGTGCATTTTGCATAATTGGAAACTTTCCAATACATTTGACATTGTTAAATATAAGATTAAGAGTTGAAATATCCCGCCATTGGTATAGTACCTGACTTCAATGCAGGACATTTGAACAACTTGGGATGAATTAGTGTCTGAATTTTCTTATACAGTTTTATTCACTACAAGTTGGTGGTGGTGCATTCCCAAAGTGTGTCTAAATGTATTTGTGTTTACCCTCATGGTGGTCCCTCTCATGCCGGCGTGCACGGTCAAAGAGCACTGACGGGTGGTCCGGATGCTCTCCACAACGACGCAGAGAGCCGTGCGTCCGCTCTCCTTAGACTGCCGGACCAGGCAGTGATCCAGGTCCACTTTCCTGACACAGGAGAATAAAACATCTGACGTTTGGTCGGGTATTCATTTGGCTAAAACCAATATCTCCAACACAAGTTTGACACCAGTTAATATCGAACAACACTCTTGTGTTGTCTTCTTGTATGTAGAGACAGCCATGCGTGCCAGTGTAGAATAACATGATCATTTATTCATCCTTACTGGGAAACCCGTCCTCTCATATTCCTTCTGTCACAAGAGGTCAGAGGTCAGCTGTTGACTTAAAGCTTTTGTTAGGGGAAAAAACCTCAATCTAGATATAGTGGACAATGAATGTGTCCTCCATTGTTTACATTTGAGAGATCAACATGAGCCCAGATATTTCTCATTTGGATATTCATTATATAATCAACTGAGTTGTACACGTTTGATGTGATGTGGTATTTGGCCCATTGCTGGTTGATCAATCTATATATTGTGGCCCCACTTCATTTAGGTTATATGGAAATGTAAACAATTTCAGTTTGAAATCAAATGAAACTCATTCAGTTGTCTAAAATGATGCAGTCTATGCAAGGTATCAAGAAGGATATTACTGTATAACATTTGCATGACTCTTAAGATACTTCTACCTCAGCTCTTTTTTGAAAAATATACATAATGAATGGTAACAAATAATAATTGACCTCACTTATTAATAAAACATTACAGAGATGGCATTGCATCCAATCAGCCTGACTCTATGCTGATGATATGTTGTGTTACCTGGAGTTGAGCTCTCGCAGTAGCGTGGGCACCTCCAGCTCGTGTTTGGTGACGATGCCGAACGAGGCTTTGACGGCCACAGAGTCCGACCCGCTGATGTTGAACCCAACATCGTTGAGGAGGTGGTTTCCTAACCGACCGTTGAGGGCGACGTCAGATTTATCCTCGTAGTTGAGGAGCTGATAAGAAGATACTCCTGTTTGAGAATAAATCAAAGGGATGTGATCATATTATGCTGGGATATATTGCAATTGTTTCTGCTTCGATGTACTTCCTTCCCACTCATTAGGAAATGATTTTGCTTTTTACTACACGACAATCATTTAAAAGGTGACAACATTATAAACGTATGTTAGGGCTTCAACATCTTAAAACAATCAAAGAAAATGTGCAATATTGAGTTGAATAAACCTGGGTAAAAAAACTTGTTTAAACCCACAGTTATTTATTAAAATGCAGTTGATATTTCAAGATTTCCAAAGATACTGCGAACATCAGATTGAATTCTTGGAAGATTAGCATAAAAGGATGCTGAAGACATCTTACTTCCATTTTAAAGAATGAGGCAACCATATACATTTGTATAGAGTATTTAAAAAGTACCCTCAGTGTAATCATACAATTCAATGTAGAGATGGAATAAGATAATACAGATTATGGCACTGTAAATTGCTTACGGGGTAAAATATATGGATTTTTTTATGTTAGAAGACACATTTATCATTGGTCCCAACAAATACCCCAAAAAGTATCCTTGTGTTTCATCACTGTACCTGCTGTGATCTCTTTCTCCCCGACCAGGATGTCTTTCAGTGAGAAAGCGGTGGAGGCGTGCTTGTTCTTCTTCCAGAAATGCCTCTTCCTCTTCCTGGACACCAGGCTGAGCGGCTGGTAGCGGTCGGCCTCGCTCAGGCTGGGGACGGGGATCAGCCTCCCTGTGTCTCCCACCTGCTTCACAAAGTTCTTAGTGGCTGCCGCAAACATGTCGACGATCAAACCAGGGTACAGAAAAATATTGTTCCTCGAAGACTACTGTGGCGCACACACTGCTGGGTCCATTCACTGGGGAATGTTCTTTCAGACCCGTGAGGTGTTAAATAATGCAGGTAGTGTGTAAGGGAACACGGGACAATAAGCGTGTTAACTTGATAGGTCACTGCAGCTTCCTGTCATGGGACAAATAAAGGTTGGAAACAGCACATCATAAGAGCATTTTTCACATTTGACTCTTGTCGGCTAGGAATTGCATTCTAAAGCTTTTTTAAAGGTCACCTATTGTACTATTTTTAGGCATATATTATAGGTCTCAGATATATAAAAAAAAACTTTTTATATCCTGCTTCTTTATACATACTCTCACCGGTACAGCGTTAGCTCTGAGTGTTAGCGATGCTTGCTAATGTAAACACAGACCATATTACTTCCAAAACGTTACGCATCGTTTCTGATAGATTGAGGACTGCAGATGAAAATTAGCTATAATCTGGCATAATTCATATTTTCTTTTTTCTGAGATTAATGTATTTGTACGCATGGTCCTCTTTGAAATAAATGCATAATATACATAGCAACGTTTCTGATAGCAACGTTTCTGATAGGGCGCAAAGCCCGCCCACATTTCCGATATAACGTCATATCGGGAGCAAATCTGGATCAACTCCGTTGTACCCCCGTTTTTAGAGATGTGGGTATGGAGGAAAAGAGAGAGGGTTGTATTTTCAGACACTTTGAGGGTTCCCTGACACACCGGGAACACATGTTTACGTATAAAAGACATCAGAAAGTGCATTTTGCATGATAGGAGCCCTTTAAATTCTGATCTTAAACAGAACATTTGACCCCTTTGCCTTTTTTTAGTTTGGATAATGTCCATCTTTTCAGACTGCTGGCCTCTCATTGTGTGTGTGTCCTGCATGCATGATCATGGGCCGATCTACCCTGTGGTTACACTGCTATAGTTTAGACAGCCCGAAATATCCATGTTTTTTTTTAGGTTTTAAACACCACATGTAAAAGGCTTTCTTCTTCCACAAGGTTAGTATTAGTTTCTATACATTGCACTCCCTGTAATTTTTTATGTCTTGGCCAAAAGAGGTCTTTCTTGGAAGCTATAAAAAAAAATCATCACAGTGTAATTTACATTCAGGCGTGCAGCCAGGAATTTCAGGATTGAATTTCAGTTTCTCCAAACCTTGGGAGATTAAGGGAATTATCAGTATCAAGTGCAGGTGATAAAAAAGTGTATTTAGAAGTGTGGAGAGGGCACAGAGTTATGTGAAATACATTTTGACAGCTAATATGTGTGCAGTTTGTACAGAGACAAGGTAAAGGTCAATCACTGATTGTGTCTGCAGTTGGATAATAAGAAGAGTTAAACCAGGTGCAAAATACTGTCAAACAAGGTCAAATCCAAACAGCACGTACAGCTTTAGAGCACCAGCCCTTTTAAAAAGTAGCTATTTCAGGGGCTGCCCTCCAACATGACAAAAGGAAATCTCCTCTCAGCACCACTTCATCACACCACAAGAATAAACCTCTGGATGTACGTCTCATCTGACAGAGGAACTGTCTTCCCATCTGCCTCACTTTCTGTCCCCCGTGACTCTTTAATGGGAAAGCAGTCTGTCCTCACAGCACCTCAAACTCTTCCTGACTCAGTTGTAGCAGAGGCAAAGTAAACAAGTGAAATCCTCCTCATACACTGACAGAAATGTGACTTTAGGAAGGCGTTGATAACTCTAATTTAGAAATACTGTGTCCGGGTCACTAGTGGTTACCAAGGTAAATAAGCCATGATGTTTGCTTGGTTCTCCACCACCGGGACGGACAGTCTGCGCGAAGCACCGACTTGGCAGAGCGTTGCCCTGGAAAACACATCAGATGGATGTTACATGCACATTGTAAACCGCTTAAAGTGGTGCGCACAGATTTAGTTCAGCAAAAATGTCAGGTAGATTGCAACACATACGGAAAAGGTTATTTATTTATAGTTTTAAGGTTGCTTTTATTTCATTGATAGAGTATAAATACATGTATTCTACCTTGGTTCTTCTGGAAACAAACAACACATGCTTCAATCATGTTCGAATATAAGTCATGACCAAAACGGCATAATGTGTAATTTTATACACCTTTTGACTTTATTTCCCACAAACTACCCACATAAGTTTGTCTGAATAGTTTTTCTGCTTTTTTAAGCAAGATCTATGAAACATGCATGGGGCATGGGGGGATGAATGAAAAGGGTCATTAAGGACGCAACAAATAGTATAAACGAAAGACTAAATGCTGCAGAAGCACAAATGACTTATTTGTTCCACTTTTAATCGTAAAATGTTAATTAATACAGCTTTAATCTATGTCAATTGGCAAAATAAAGTCCTTCAATCATTATTTTTGAACCACAATGCAGGTTGGCAAAACTGCAAAGACTCAATGTGAGATTCCAAAAGTATTTTAGATGCATCATCATTCAGCCCATCTCTTTTCATCATGGACACATTTCATGCAGCCTTTAATTAGCTGCATCTTTTCAAGGCAACTTGTAAGAGCCCGAGGAGGTTGGCCTTGAAATTAAGCACGGAAAGATGATGATAGAGGAGAAGCAGGAGGAGGAGGAGAGTGAGAGTGAGAGGAGGGGGTGAAGAGGGAGCTTGTTTCAGTTTGCAGTAATCGCTCATCCAGGAGCCGCTCCACTCAGGGATATTTGGATTTTCTCAGTCTGGATGCTGTAGCTCGGGATCAGACTCTCTCTCTTCTCTCAGACTTCCTTGTGTGTGTCTCAGCGGCTGTGTGTGAGGATCGTTGCATGTCTGGTATCCAGACATGGGCCCCTATTTTCGCTCTGGGATTACTCTCTGCCTCATCTTCACCTTGGCTCAGGTGATCACCGTCACCTGCCAAGAAGATACCAAGAACGGTGAGTGACAGCCACCTCTTCCTAAATTAGTTTTCCTCAATGACATGTGTAAGTTACTGACAGGATGATGCAGAATCAAACAAAAAGGTCCTGAAATTGCATTTGTGTTGACAACAAACATTGTTTCCATGCAAATATAAGAAGGGTAAGGTCATAAAATCACTTTTGGTCTAACTTGTCAACGAATATATATTTCCTTCTGCTTTGCTGTCTTCAGTGATTCATGATCGTCTAACCGAGCCCTGTGAAAACATTTACCTCTGTTTTTCTAATGCAAGTGACAGTACTGTTTGTCTTTCCCATGATGCTCTTGGTTTATTTTTCAGAGTTAAGGAAGTGGGATGGGAAGTTTTCTCATCTGTTGAAGTCTTAAACATAGGGCTGCTCTGCCTCCCAGAAACCGGACCACACTGGCCTGGTGGTTCAGAAACGGAACACCCAAAACCCAAACCAGAATGTCTTTTAATACCCTAATCAGACACCTTTTTCCTGTTAAACCACTTATTGATGATTAAGATGAAAATATATTGTTAACCTTTCAGGAATTCATTAGAAATGGAGAAAGTGAAAGAGATCTCTTTGGTGAAGTGGCATCAAAGTGAGGCTGAATCAGCTTTACACTGCTAGGCAAATAAACTCCTTTAAACAATTATAAATCTAGAATAAAATGTCCCAGTGGATGTTGATCCTGGGTCCGAAATATCTCCCACCGCCTACAGGCTGCAGCACTGGGCTATTTCAGTGCGAGGAGGAGGCTGAATGATGGGGTTCTCTGCACCACAGCTATAATGATGTGGCCTTGCAGATGGGATGGACAAAAGCAGGCCACTCATTTTGGTCAGACTCCGAGCCAGAGGCAGACAGGACACACCCAGAGTGAGAGGATGCTGGATCTGAAATATGCCTCGCTCACTTCCATCCAAGTTCACCTCAGCTGAAGCTGAGAAAGTTGAAAGTAATTGTACATCTGAGTTTATGCTTCAAAGATAAGCTCTGTTGGGGTCTTTCAGAGCAATTCCAGCATTTTCTCCAGCTAAGGACTGACAGGTGGACAAAACCTGATTTAGGGTGATCCACTACAAAAGTTTAGTTGTTGTGTTTAATTACAGTTACAGGCTGTTATCAGGCCCTTTTTGTACTTGCTAGCTGTTTCCTTTCTTTATGTTAGGCTGCTGGCTTTATATTGACAGTACAAACATGAATGATCTACCTATTCAGCTCTCTGAAGTCAATTAGCATCTGAAAACTCGAATTAGAATAAGGCTAACCAAAGCCTACTATCCTAGTGTTTGAAGCAGGGAGTACTGCAAGAAATATGTATATATATATAGAACAATTACAATATAACTATTTAACATACCATGAAGTTTGAAAAAAGTATAATATTATTTATGATGGAATGAGAGAGGATCCAGGTCCATTCCTTTAATATGATAGCCATATTATATATGTTTAAAATATGATTTTTGTTGCCACTGAAAATGCATCTATCATTACATGTAACATGTATACTGTATAACCGGTTTAACATAATAGTTAATTAAGCAATGTTTTATTTGAATACTTCTAGAAAGAGAAATGTTTTCCAACATTTCAGAGGAATAGGAAAAAAGCTTTTTTTCCACTTTATGTGGGGGTCCTGTATACCCACCTTGCAACACCATGGGAATGGGAGTGACGTTAATACTGATTCCTCTTCAGCACGATACACATTTAAGGAATTTAGAAACCAAGTGTAGCTGTATTCAGATGCTCTGGTTGTGTTACAGACAGGTTTAGCAGCTGTTGTTGTTGTTGTTGTTGTTGTTCTGAGAAAATAGTTAAACAGTCTGAGATTTATGATACTGGCATGTTAAAATGTCTACTGAGTATTTAACATTTTAGAGTGCTGTTCTTGGCCCAGTGGGTGTGAACGGTGTGTGTGTGTGTGTGTGTGTGTGTGTGTGTGTGTGTGTGTGTGTGTGTGTGTGTGTGTGTGTGTGTGTGTGTGTGTGTGTGTGCATGCTTGTGGTCACATATTCCTTCACTGGTTTCAATGTACATTTGAAGACTTCAGTTGTTAGATTGAATTGGCTATTCATTGGGCACTAACTGCAGTGTACACCTAAGGCAGTGGTTCTCGTCCATTTTCTGGCTAAATCATTTAGAGATGTTTTGTATTGAAGCAACGTGTGTGACAGTTTTTATTCTTGATTTAAACATGGTTGGTTTAAACAGGAGCGTCACTGTCTTCCCTTGGTTGAAAACTCTTAAAGACACAAACAATTAAGACCCAAAAAATACTGATATTAATCTTGTGACCCTTTTACTTCATTACGTGAACCCTTGAGGAGTCCCAACCCCCAGCTTTGGAGCCACTGGCTTAAGGTGCCGTATGTGGACTGAATACGGTTTAATAATAAACCTGAGTTGAGGAGGTTTAGGCAAACCACTATGTCAGAGAGTTTCCTCTTAGGGAAGAAACCAACACTTAGTCATCATAATTGCTCTCATGCTGTATAGCCACTATAATCACTTTTATATGGCTTAAAAACATAGATTTCGCTCACTTTTACAAACTCTTTCTAAAGCATCAGCAGAAATGTTATATTTTATTGCAAAGCTCAATTAAATGAACGCCTTTCTTTTGCACAAGGACTTTTTCGTTGAAGCCCTCTGTAGACTCAAATCCCCAACTCATCAACTTTGTAGCTGCTGTCTGGTGCATGCTGCTCTGCAGGAGGGTCCTCCGGGTGTGGCACCGCTCTGCTCTCCCAAATAGTGAAAGCCACAAGTTCTACCCAAACCCAACGTATAATACAGCCGCTGTGGTTTCCCTGAAATAACTCCAGCTTTTGAAAAGCTGCGTCTCTCGCGGGGAGAGGCTCCACCACATAATTAGTACTTAGGACGTCCCTAAACTGGCAGGATTAAAATATGCTCACTGAGCTCGTAGCAGGTGGCCATATTCCCCTTTTCCCCCTCTTCTTTTAACTTTAAAAAAAAACAGCTGCACAGAAGAGGGATCAGGATTTTGGCCCATAACCAGCAATGTACACAAACTGTCCAAAAATACATTTAATTATAAACCCCTTTCTGTCCGTTTTTCTGGATGTGTTGAAAAATGATAGTGACAAGAAAAGTGTATTTTAAGTTTGAGTTATTGATTGATATAGATTTTTTTTGTAGAAAATTCCTTAAACACTTTGGAAGTGTGTTGATCAGCTGAAACTGGTGCCATTTCATTTATGTTTTACATTTTCTTCTATATAATTGTATTCCTACGCAAACAATTAAAGTCACATTTCACAACCTACCTTACCTTGCCTGCACACATCTATAGGTCTCATCTTGTTTTGTGTTTACAGTTGAAAACATTGCTGTTGGTGCAAAGATGATTACATACTTGCATACGGACACATTTACAGCCAGGAGCTGTCACATCCCACCACAGTCTAGTCAAAGTGGCAATCAGCGGCAATTTGCCCAAAAGTGTCTGTTATCTATTTTTAGTTTCCATACAAATTCATAAACTGTATTCCTTCCCCTGATGTCAAACTTCATATTTAAAAAGGTCTGACTTAACTCATTTACTTCATATCAAAACTATTTATTATTAGGGTGTACGTGAGAAATGAAAACATCCTTTTTGAGACAGTTGCACGTGATTGATTTGCAATTGACTTGTTGCTTGGGGAAAAAAGCTTTCTTTAGAAAGTAGAACTATTGCATGCCTATAAACTGACTGCTATAATCAGTGGAATTTCCCTTTGAGGTTAGATGGGCATAATTATGTTTGAACGTTATATACTGTAGTTAATTGGACTACAGTGTAGTTGATGTCTCTTTCTATGCCTGTGTCATGAATCAATCAATGCATGTGATCAGATTGTCATTGCATTGCTTAGTAATGGGTGCAACCTGCTGGACAAGGGTGGAAAGTACAGTTACTGTGGTTTGTGGTAACGCAATGATTTCTTGGTCGGTTTGCACTGATGAATTGTTGTTCTTTAAGATTGTTGTGATTCATTTTACAATGGGAAACAATACAAGACCGTCAAAGACGAGATTAAGGTTGTCTTCATTGGGAACACTTTGCTAACATGTGCCCAACTGCTATGTTTCCGTCAAGAGCACCCTATGTTTTTTAATGTATCATTTTTAACAATATTGGTATAGACCTTGCTTTAGTCCAAGTTCCCTTCTACAGGGAACATTTCTACTCACCACCTTCACTTTCCTTTCAGTTGGCGCAACACATCATTTGAGAGTTTTGACAATCACAAAAATCATTTTCTTTTAAAAGAGTGTAGCTTTCATTTCAAGTATCATCACAATGTCGCCTAATGTAATTCTAAACTGCAGTGATGGAATGAGAGCATACAAAATAAGTTTGCAAACTACAATTACAGAGAGCTGCATTGGCAGTTACCACTTAAAATAATCACATTTCAATTGCTTAAAGAAATAGTTATGACTTATAGTCTTCTATCTGAAAAGCTCAATAAAATGAATCCCTTTTTACCAAGAAGACCAATATTTCTTTTACGGCAATTGCAAAAGGGTAGAAATATTATCTTTAAATAAAAACTATTACAAATATATACTGCCCTTTATTATTTGCAACTCTTTTGTCCCCGTCCGGATCCTGTAGAAACGATCACTCGATCTGATTGGTCAGTGTTCAGACTGCAGTTACACGTTCAATCAGCAGCGGCGCGTGCGGTGGAGATAAACTTTAATTGAATCTCCTCATCTTTTAAGTGTTGACAGAAAGTGAAAACATGTGACATTTATTTATCAGTTTTTGTTGAAGTGTGTTCTTTGGAACAGGCTGTATTAGGTTGGAGAGGTTCAGCTCCATTACAGCTCAGACGAGCTCATTAGCAGCCAAGTGGAAACACCTGGCAGTTCAAATGTCCCGCCTCGTGTCATTGTAGTTCACATACTTATAAAAACAATGTTCTTTTCTTCTGAACTTTACCTGACCTATAAAGATACTTTCTGCATCTTTTACTTTTACATTGTAAACATACTCTGTTATAAGTAAAAGTCCTGCATTCAAAATTGTACTCAAGTAAAAGTACACAAGTATTAGCATCGAAATAACTTAAAGTACAAAAAGTAAAAGTACTTATTTTCCAGTATGGCCCATATCAGATTGACACATATAACATTTTAGTTTTATAGTTATTAATAATGCAATAATGTCAATGTTCACTCGGTTAAGGTGGGGATTATTGAAATGGCTTGCTCTTCTTCTGGGTAGTTTAAGCTAATAGTGATTCATTCGGTGATTTAGACCCCATCTACACGCAAATGAAACGCAAACGAACCGAATTCGATATCAAAAAAGTCTTCCGTTCACACGAGACCGCTCGTGAGCGCTGGAGACTCTATAGTACATATGCCGGGCCTGTAAGTGGCGCTGTACTTCTGCCACAAAATACAAAAGCAGCAAAGAAGACCCCCAAGCATGGTTGCCATTGTTGCCTGGTTGCCCTTCTGTTTATTCTCCACGGTAGATTTAGCAACATGTAGTTCATGTTGTTCTCCATGTCCACTTGTTGCTGATGGTTGTGGTAGAGGAGCTGTAGATTTTGCACTAACATCTGTAGCATGGTCAGTAGCAGTAGCAGTAGCTACTGACCATGCTACAGCAGTGAGCAGCAGAGGTGGGGAGAGGTGGGGCTATGGCTTCATCGTTATCAGGAAATTATCGTATAGGACGTACACACTGAGCCGTTTGGCCCCCCAGAGCGGTCCGTTTGCAGATCTGTCCACCTTGGGACCCGTTATCATTTGCGGGGTCCGTTTCCGCGTTTCCGTTACGGCCTCGTGTGAACGAACGGGCTATACGAATAAGAAAAGTAGCGGATACAACCGTTTGCGTTCTCGTGTAAACAGCACCTTTTATTACGTATATTAAATCCATACTTGCAAAGTAGCTAATTTTGTTAAATTAATGTAGCGGAGTAAAAAGTAAAAATATGTAGTAAAGTAAGAGTTTAAAGTAGCTCACAATTGTACTTGAGTAAATGTAGTTAAATTCCACCACTGCTCTAGACAGTTGGTGTTATCAACAGACCGTGCCATGCTGCAGGCCTCCACATGTAGCCTGTGTCTTGTGGTCCAGTTCGGGCAAGGTGACACTGGTTGTCACCACAAGCTCCAAAAGTCAAGCTGAGAAAACCAGTTTTCCTCTCATTGTATTTACTGGTTTGAGCAATTACAAAGCCACAGGAATCCTGAGTGTTTCTGCTTTAAACCTCGGGAGGAGTCTGGATGAGCTCCACTGAAGCAGGCGTTTAGACAGAGCTCAAATAGACCAGCTATTACTGGGACTTTAAATATATAAGCAGTGGTGAGAAGCACATTTACTCAGGTACTAAGTCGAATTTTGAGGTACTTGTACTTGAGTATTTCCATTGTATGCTACATTTTACTTTTACTCCACTATATTTAGAGTTAAATATTGTATTCTTACTCCGCTACATTAACAAAGTGACTTTGCTGATATGGATTAATGATATAAAACATTATGATCAGCACATGGAGTCAATTCACAAGCTAACCAGTATTTCCACCTTTACCAGCTTTGAGAACACTTTAATGATCAATCATTCTAAAACATATCATATATATTATTCTGAAACGGACCAATCTGCACAACGACTACTTTTGCTACTTTCACTATATTTTGATGAGAATACTTTTCTACTTTTAGTTGAGGAACATTTTGAATGCAGGACTTTAACTCAAACAGAGTATTCCTACACTCTGGTACTTTACAGTACACTATCTGAGTCTCTTCCACCTCTGTATATAATAGTGATGAAAGAGCAAGAAGAGTTTATCTTTGGGAGTTTCAAAGAGATTGTTCTTGTTTAGGAAATGTGCACACATGATTGACATCATAATGATGTGCACAATGTGAACAGGAATCATCTGCCATACTTATTGCTGGTCTCTCATGAAGATTCCTGCAAAGCAAATGTGAAGGTGTACTCCCACTTTCAGAAACGAAGCCCACAGCAGCCGTGTTGGATCTGTGTGTGTGAAACTGCTAATGTGTGTGTGTGAGTTGGCCGTGTGTGAAGAGCTGAATCACTGTCCTAGTGGGCGAGTCCTTTGAGCTCCACTGCAGCCCCACATCCTTCTATCGTGGACAATACAAGTGCTCATACATATTTAAAACCATTTTGATATAAATGTGGGTCGGCATGTTCCATAAATATCCATGTGTACTGGGTGTATTCACGTGGAATTGTATGTGTTTTTAAAAATAGAAAATAACATTTTCTCAAATGATCTGAGTAAGAGTTGATCTTCTGCTTCTTTTTACTTTGAAATGAGGATGAATCACAATGACATCTTTTATTGGGGGATTCATTGCTTGTCTTTCAGCTTGCCATCACTTCTCAGCCAAAAGTCCACCAATGTCTTCATGATTAAAAGTTGCATTTGTTTCTTACATTCCTTTATTTAGGTCTTGGTGTTTAAATAACAAAGATGATACAAGTTTAGTGTGTTTTGCACACATTTGTAGGTTCTGAAATCAGGCTAAACCCATTGTTCATTTAAAAGACTTGCTTGTTATCTGCTGTCCCTTTAGTCCGAACATGACATGGACTCATTTAGAACCTTTGGCTGGACATTTCAACCAATGTGTCAACCATGTTTTCTTCACAGATGCTCATAAAAGTGATACCCACAATGCTTCAATCACATAACAATGGCACCGAACTCACAACAAGCTAAGCTAGCAATACATCTGAAGTTTAGAGTATTGCGTCTAATCCTTTAAAGCCCTCACGCACAGTCACATGAGACAAGTTTAGTGATGGGTAGTGTGTGATTTTACCTTTGGGTTTTGCTGAAGAGGAAGGAAAAAGTCCACTGCATAGGCCTACATGTTACTGATGGCAGTTGCTGTTTTTTTCACAAAGATTCCTGTCCAGAGGATGGCAGAGTCTACTCCAACAATCAGATCTGGAACTCAGACCTGTGTCATGTGTGCATATGTGAAATGGGGTCTGTGTTTTGTGAGGAGCTGGTGTGTGAGGAGGATCTAGGTGACTGTGACGCCACAGAGACCCCTGAGGGCGAGTGCTGCCCCGTGTGCTCGCCCTCAGCACACACTGGAACTGGTCAACTGCACAGCTGCCTGCCAAACTACGTTCTGCTGATGCATCCTGGTTGCTCTCTTCAGCAGCCTCCCACTGAAGCATTGCTCTTCAGGCTCCATCCTGAATTATGCTTTTTTTAAATCTACAACTCTGTTTTGGAGTTTCCCTTTGCAATTGCAAAAGGTATACATTGACTTGTTGACCGATAAGATCCCTTCTCAACCTACTTATGTGCAGCATATGCATCCAGAGATGTATTGCTGCACAAAATGAAGTTGAGCAAGGAACTTCTTTACCAAATAAGGTGTATTCCTCTGGGAAATGATCACCTCCTTCGCCATGTTGTTCACATATTGTTTTACTTTAAATGCACTTTTGATCATTTGTATTGTCACACATTTTGGTCTTTGTGCTTGTTGTAAGATGCTTTAAATAAGGCTTTAAGTATTTGGATACAATTTAATAAAGAAAATTGTACGTATCTTTAAGAGATGCAATGTTTAAAGTCCTTAAGTTTCGTTTTTTTGTGACTTTGGAGACTCCATGAAAACTTACTGAGATTAGTGGTGCGCAACAGGACTGTCCCTTTTTGCTATCAAAATAATTTGGAGTTTGATAGTCACACAAAAATGAACACATAGGCCATAGGTGTGGAGGAAACTTCTGTGTAGCAATGCAGTGGGAGTCACCGACTCATGAAGGAGACACGGGACGAGCAGGAGTTCTGATGTCAAACACTGAGATTTAATACAAGCATCGGCAGGAGAAATTCACATCACAAGTCACACAGTCAAAGGTTCTGACTGCACGGGTGGGTTGCCATGTCAATTCTGATCAGCCTCGCATCTTAGTAGACCTTTTAGTTTTAACTAGTTTACAGAGAGTCAAATCCACATATTGGGGGAAGGTATCCGTGAACACCTGGAGACACTGAATCACTTATCTGACTCTATGGCTCTGTGACTGAGAGTTTACCGGTCATAAAACTGGTAATGTCAGCAATAGCTAAGACTTCCCATTCCTTAAGACAGATAACAGACTTAGGGTTCCTCGTAAATGTCAACAGGCCGAAAGGTTAAATATCTTAGGGGAAAGGGAGAATTATTCTTTGACACTTAGGAGTAAGACAGAAATATTTCTCTAACAATAGGGGCTTTAAAAAACTATGTTTACCCTTTCAAAATGGTTGGCATGAAAGTAAGCATTGCTGGTACAATTTAAGATTGAAAGAAAACAGTTCAACATATTGTAAATGAAGCTCCAAGACTTATTTGTTAAGAATTAGATGAAGAAATACCCATTTGAACGTCAGTATGCTCAATATGAAGCAACAGCCAGCAGGAGGTCATCTGAGCTCCTGCAGCCTTCCTGGTGACTTCATATGTATCATACAAACATGAGTACACTTCTTAACTCTTGGCAAGAAAGCAAGAAAGAGTCAAATGTTGAACTTCTTTTGAATGTCTCGAAGGTGCATTGGTCAGTTTTACACCATCCCAGCAGACACTTAATGCATGTTTTTGATTCCTAAAGATACCTGCACAGAAAATGGAAAAGTCTACGCCCACAATGACATGTGGAACCCGGAGCCGTGTCGGATCTGTGTGTGCGACATGGGGACCGCTGTGTGTGAAGCCGTGGTGTGTGAGGACCTCAGCGACTGTCAGAAAGCTATGACCGTCGAGGGCGAGTGTTGCCCCGTGTGTGTGCCTGCAACGTCGGCATCGTCTCCAAGTGCGGACCCCTCAACAGGTAAACAGAATCTCCTGTCATGATAATGAGGGATTAGTCAGTGATCCTTCCCAAATCATCTGTTTTCTCTTCAGTTGCAGATGAGAAGGAAGGAGATAGCTGCACGTTCAAAGAGGACGTCTACAGGCACAACGAGATCTGGAAACCAGCGCCTTGTCGTGTGTGTGTTTGTGACAACGGGGTGGCCATCTGCGACGAGGTGCAGTGTGAGCTGCTCGCCAACTGTGAGAAGGTGGTCACGCCTGAGGGGGAGTGCTGCCCCCTGTGTGAAAACTTCGCCAGTGCCGGCCGGAGGATAGGTGAGCTGAGGCAGAAACAATTTGGTCTTAGTTTTGCACAAGTTGGTGCATAACATAAACAGTGTGGAAGTATAAAGACCTTTTGTATAACAATAATCAGGGCATTTACAATAAGATATACAATACATAATAATATCTGTTTTATAATGTTGTGCAATGTGCAAATGATTCTCCTTACAAGGGATGTACAAGTTCAGTTTATTATAACTAGCCTTTCACATTTTTTGTGTAATGCTCATAAAGGTCAGGAAAAACCAGATTCTAACTGGGTGTGAAATAACTCTTAAAATGTTGACAATCATTGATTTAATCTTTTATTCAAAATAATGATTGCAGTAGTTAAAAGCCGTAGACCATGAGTCAACTGCATAAATAATTGAGACTGTTAAGATTAGGTTGAAATGTACATTCAATTAACTTTCTCTTTGTATGTTCCGTCCCTAGAACTGATGGGCTACAAGGTAAGTCATCATTCATTCTAAAAATGATTAATGCAAATGATTAAAATAGATATTGCAGTTGATGAAATGATGTTAATGATTTCTTTATAGGGACAAAAAGGAGAACCTGGTGATATCCCATATGTGAGTCACTGCATGCAATTTGAAAAAGTTCCTCATTAAGTGTTTTTTTAATACATATAAAAGCTTTTTTCAGATGAAATAAGGTTTTATTTGTGTGTGTTGCTCTTAACATTTTCTTATGTTTTTGTACTAACAGGTGGTAGGGCTTCCTGGACCTTCAGGACCCTCGGTGGGTTTTTCCTGTTTTTACTCTCCACTAAACCATACAGTTTATATAACTGTACAATATATGTATAATGTGTAGGGTTATATAAATGTATTGGAATTGATTGATATGATACAAAATTAGCCATACAGTCATTGCGACACTAGAGGGCACCAGAGTGTCATTATAGTGCTTATGATTGGACAAACTCAAGACTGAATGATGTTATAGTTCAATGACTCCATGAGGGTTTGTTTACCTGCTTTCTAGGAAGGCCAGAAAAAAGGAACACACTTATATATATATATACACTTTTCAGTCAATAGATGAATGGTAGTTATCAACACTGTAATGTTTACATTTTATGGCTTTTATGGTTTATAAATCATGTGTTAAATATTTGTATCTCTCTCTTGTGTTCAGGGTCCTCCAGGAAGTCAGGGACGAACTGGACCCAGAGGCTTTAACGGCAGAAAAGTAAGTCTGAATGAACACCTGTATTGTGTACACCACTACAGTGCCCTTTCACATAGCTCCTTCCCGTATGGCTGTCAGATGTTACTTTAAGAACTTCATTAATGATATTTCACCCTGCAGGGATTTGAAGGGCCGCAAGGATTTGATGGAGAGCCTGGTGTGCCAGGAAATCCAGGAGGGTCCGGACCCCCAGGCCAGACCTCCCACCCTGGGGTGAGTTTATTTCTCTTTAACGAATGTGCATGTTTCATAGAAAAAGAACAACTGTCTTCTACATTGGTTTACATGTGCTGTATGGTGAGATCATTTCTTTGATCACGTTGAATTTAAATCACTTTTGTGGGTGGAAAAATACATCAAAGTCGTTTTCTAAACATTCTGCCTTTCACTTTGTTCTCTGAAGGGCAACCTATTGTCACAGATGGCTTCAGGTTTCGGAGAGAAGTCAAGTCACGCTGGGATGGTATCAGGATCCAGGGTGAGTGGTGCACAGTAGTGAAGGAGATGTATTTTACACACTGTTACAAAGTATGCTATGATGTAGCATTTAAACCACAGTTAGTTAAAATGTTGCCATTTCAGGGAGAAGCCGGACCTCGAGGACCTTCTGGGATGCCTGGACACCTAGTACGTTCTGGCTTCTTGGCGCTTAAATTACATTTTCTATGTTATTATAATGATAAGAAATGATGTAGGAACATTTGAAGTGACTTGTATCACCTCCTCTGTTCAGGGCCCAACTGGAGGTCAGGGAATGCCAGGAGATGGTGGAGATCCAGGACCGATGGTAGGGCCATTATCTACATGATATCTTCTATTTGATGCTCATATGTCTATGAGGAGCCATTTGAAACGTGTTTCTGACCAGATCTAAATCAACTTATGTGTGTGTTCACAGGGTGAGCTGGGTCAGCGAGGACAAGACGGGCCTCTGGGAAAATCTGGACCTGATGTGAGTGGAACCTACACGCATCCTCTTGTAAATCAAGAATATACTGTTCGTATTAGTCCGTTTTTTAAGAACTATTTCCGCTTTTTTTAGGGTGAAAGTGGACCTTCAGGTGCTACAGGAGAACCAGGATATCCAGGATCCGTGGTAACCCAGTCTCCCTCAATTCTGACTAAATGCATGCATTATAATATCATTCTTCTGTGATCAAAACAGGGGAGATGTATTTCAGTCTGCATCTTTATTTGCGAAGTTTAATATAAAACAAGCACTGATTATGCTCGATAGACTTCTTAACCTGTGTGTGTGTGTGTGTGTGTGTGTGTGTGTGTGTGTGTGTGTGTGTGTGTGTGTGTGTGTGTGTGTTACCTTTTTGTTTCAACGCAGGGTGGAAGAGGATTCGCAGGACTTCCAGGTCATCCAGGACTGAAAGGGCTGAAGGTAAGGTCCACAGGCCGTGTCTCTTATACCTCCCTCATCACCGAGCCATGAGTGTTCACTTTTCATGGTCATTTGACCTGCTTACTGTATATGTCAGAAACATCCAGAACTCATGACATTCCTGTGAATTCAAACGTCTCCAACAGGGACACCTCGGTCTTCTTGGGTCAAAAGGCGAGACTGGTTCGGTTGGAACAAAGGTGTGAATCTGATATTTTGATCCTATCTAATATTGTGCTTCTCAAGGTGGACTATTACAAAAATGAAGAACATATGTTACATTTACACTACTGGTTTGAAAACATCTTTTATAATATCAAATAAAAACGTGCACATTTCAAACCTTTCTTATATCTGTTTCTTTGTGTTTCGCAGGGTAAATCTGGCACTCCTGGTGGAATGGGTGCTCTAGGCCCGCAGGTAGGCAACACATACGACAACTCCTCAGCAGAGCATTGTATACAGAGTGAGGTGTAAGTCATCCAGATGCTGAGCCACTGTTCTGTTTCAGGGACCAGCAGGCCTGCAGGGAGAGAGAGGCCGGGCCGGGCCATCTGGACCTCTGGTAAGAAAAGCACAGCATCTGGATTTTTTGGGGAAATTAGCAAACATTTGTTTTGCAAGGTTGAGACATTTTCTTTCTCTTTTAGGGAAAACGTGGTGCCGCCGGCCATGTTGGCAAACCTGGTCCTCTGGTAAGCAGTTATATCTACGGTATACATGTTTTGTAAAGCCTAATATTTGTGTAACAAAGTTATTGGCGCTGTCTCTGCCAGAAGAAAAAAAAGTTATTTCCAATTCTCCCGCACTGAAGCAACTTTAATGCTTTGTTAGTTCTTTGGACAAAATAAAGCAAGATAATGCGAAGACTGTGAACAAACCTGTTTTGAATATTTAATAACATGTTCTATTAATACAGGGTCCACTGGGTATCGTTGGTGTTCTAGGATTTCCCGGAAATCCAGGAATGAAGGTAAGATTGTCAAATATTGTCTTTTAGGATTTGGAAAGTTTTCTATTAGATAAATCCATTTGTATTTGAAATAGTTTTTGGCTTGTTGGAAAATATTACACTGTTAAGTTGGCAAAATTGGACTCACTGTTATATATTACAAAAACACATTTACCATAAATTCTGTTCAAAGGATCCGCTGATATGCGGCTGCTGCACTTGACAGTATAAGAAGTACAGAATGAATGTTCTGTTTTATCCCGTTAAACCTCAATCGGGCGAAAATCTGAGCTCTGCATTTCAAAAAGAGCTTTGAATTTCATTTAAATAGTTCATCAATTTGATCTGAATCTGTCTATTGCTGCAGGGCGAAGCAGGGGCCGACGGGCGTCAGAGGAACCTCGGGGCAGCAGGGTCCCAGAGGGGAATCCGGCCACGTCGGACCTACCGGGCCTTCAGGAGAACAGGTGTGTAACTGAGCTTTAACCAAATGACCAAGATAATATCTCATTCACACATTTTATCAAGACGATTTAGAAAACATAGTATAAGAATAATTGTCTTTATAAATGTAAGTAATCAACTGGAGAAGTTTCATGGTGATATCTACAAGTCAAAGAATAACAACCCGTGTTTCTCCTCTTTAAAACCCGAATGATGAGGTCATTCATTCTGAGTTCTTGTTTTAACAGGGTGCCGCAGGAACTGATGGAGGTGAAGGTAGCCGCGGCCAAGCAGTAAGTGCACAAGTTCTAGAGGGGCCATTTTTAACACTAGATACCAACTTTAGCCAATGAGGGCAGTCTGTGAATCTGCTGTTTCTTCATTAAATCTGTATCTGATCCTTCTCCCCCTCAGGGTCTGGGAGGTGTGCAGGGTCCACCAGGGCTGAATGGGCAGCCTGGCCCCCCCGGCCCCCAGGGAACTACAGGAGCAGAAGGACCAAAGGGCCAATTGGTATCTTGGAAGCCTTCTTCTCTATCCATGTCCATGTCTGTTTGTAACTTTGTAGCTTCAAGTAAACACACAGGGAGTCTGAATGTTTTTTGATCCTCTTTTAAAGGGCGAAGGTGGACTTCCGGGATTCAAAGGAGACTTTGGAGCCAAGGGAGAAAGGGTAACCTGAAAGACACTATACCGACCTTAAAAAAAAGAGCATAACAGTTGATGGTACTGACTGATTATTGATTTTCTGGGTTAGGGTTACCATGGTATTCCAGGTCCAATCGGCCCGATGGGAGATGAAGGAAAGCGTGGATCCCGAGGTGATGCTGGAGGCCTCGGGCCTATCGGACCTACAGGAGAAGCAGTGAGTTAACCTTTACTTTATTTAGAGATCTTTTATTTAAGATCAAGTTTCATGATCTCAAGGTGTGAAATATATTTGAAGGTTCAATCTTGAAACAATTTGTTCTAGGGAACTCCAGGAAGTCGAGGTTTCCCAGGGTCAGATGGTTTAGCTGGCCAAAAGGTGAGTTTTATTTTAGATCAAAATGCAAATAATGGCCGGATTTACTTCTACTATTTAATAACCGTGAATTTGAACCAAACAGGGAGCAACGGGCGAGAGAGGACTGCCAGGGTCGCTCGGAGCCAAAGGTTCAGACGGAGATGTCGGACGTAATGGAGAGCCAGGTTTAACAGGAGCTCGGGTAAAGCAGAAATATTTAGTTATTGTATAGATATTTGTACAGACTAGCAGTCGGAGCACTTTCTGTTTGCTGGCCTTGAGTAGTTTTACTTTTCACCTTGCTACAGTGAAGAGGAAGCGACGGTCTGAAATGGGGTTTTTTCTTATGTTTTTGTCCCCTAAAATGTATATTTCGAAAATGGAGAAAACAGATCTTAAACCGCAAAATAAATGTACATCAAATGTAATAATAAATCCCAGGAACCCTGTTCTCTGTCTAGATATGACTGTGTATTTATAGAAAATGTATTCCTGAGAATAAAATGCTGTTTTTTAGGTTCATCTGTAACTGTGTGTCTGATTTCACAGGGTCTGACAGGACTTATTGGCGCCCAGGGTTCAGAGGGAAAACAAGGACCAATGGTATGCAAGTGTTTTTATTTTAATCGTATTAAAGATTCACTACAAACCGAACCAATGACCAAAACTATGCCAAGTACTAAAATGTCTTCTGTTTTCCCCAGGGCTTAGTAGGAGATGATGGTAAACCGGGCCCAACTGGTTCTGTTGGAAACCGAGGTGGATCTGGACCAATGGGCCTGCCCGGACCCAAAGGCTTTGCTGTCAGTGTTGGTTTATGCTCCACTTTAATATACTGTATGTAATCCGATAGGTTGATGAGACGGTTTCTGATTTCTGTTAATCCTGATTTTAGGGTGATGCTGGAAAGATTGGCGAGGCTGGCAGCGCCGGGGCTCCAGGTCAAAGGGCAAGTTACCTTCACTTCATATAATACCATTTATATTAAATCTGAAGAAATATACTAATTATCATCTTTCTTCTAGGGGGTGAATGGGAAAGACGGAGAGGAAGGCGCTGCTGGTCCAGCTGGCCCTGCTGTAAGCGTCTAACAACCCATCATCAGTGATTTGATAACATGAGGTTTTACTTATTTTACATCATACTTGCTTTTCTCCAGGGTGTCACAGGAACGAGAGGAGAGCATGGCTCACAGGGACTGCACGGTTTCCAGGTACACTGCATTCCCAAAAAATAAATGTATTTTTGAGTTTGTAACAGTTTTTTATGATGCATTACATAATGATTTGGTTGGATGTTTTTTAGGGTTTGCCTGGAGGGCCAGGATCACCTGGAGAGTCTGGGAAACCAGGCGCTGAGGTACGACAAAACTAAACAGCTTTTCAGTGCTAACTTTTCAAAAAATGTTCATTGACCCCTAAAATGATCTGATCAACATTGATGTGTCCTCTGTAAACATATATGTAGTTCCGTATCACTCTAAACATTTCGTGTTTGTTCCAGGGTATGACTGGAGAGGTTGGTGCTAGTGGACCTACAGGTACAAGGGTAAGTCCATTTCTGCTCCCACTGATTACAGGTTGAGTCAAACAAGTGTTGCATACTGTAATCCCCTGTTTGCCCATGCAGGGAGAAAGAGGCTCTCCAGGAGAGAGAGGTGAAGTCGGGCCCAACGGGCTGAACGGACCCAAAGGAGGTCCAGGTGGACCGGGATCAGATGGGCCAAAGGTGAAAACCACGGACTGAAACTCTACATCTATATGTTCTGTGTTTGTGAATGGTGTTTTTAATAAGTGTCACATTTTAGGGTAGCATTGGTTCAAAGGGCGCTGTTGGAGAGGCAGGAGGACCAGGACTTCAGGGCATGCCCGGAGAGAGAGGCTTAAACGGACCTTCAGGCCCGAAGGGAGATGCAGTAAGTAGACTACTGAAGTGGAGTACACATATCGGCTTCTAATGTCACCATTTCTCTGAGTCTGAACAAGTTCGTGGTGGGGTGGTCAAATGTTGTTTGGGAAATGTGGGACTAAGGAGAGGAAGCGTCTCCTAAAAGCATTTAGAATCTGAGGCACTGATGAGGCTCTCCTTACAGGGCTCTAATGGAGAGGCAGGACTGGAAGGTAAAGCCGGAGCTGACGGTGGACGGGTGAGTCGTCTCTGCATGATGTCAGGATGAAAACCATAAGAAGCCACTACTTTGTGGCCAAATATTGAACCTGATGAAACTAAGAACATCAGACCATGCACCATCATCAGTTGAGTTGTAGTTTGGGTAATGTATGTTTTCATTTGATCAAAAGGGGCTTCCTGGTCCTGTTGGACCTCCTGGTTCCGGCGGACCCAACGGAGAGAAGGTGAGCTCCGAATCCTACATTCTCGTATTATTTAAACTCAAACATTTGGTTGTGTTAAAAATAAACTACAAAATCCCAAAAGTGATTACAAAATATTGTTCATATTTTGTATGTTCTCCTTTATAACTCATAGTTTGTAGAGAACTGATTAGGAATCAAATCAGTATGAGGGTAAAAAATCAAACTAGTATTTAAATTCCAGTTCTGTGAGCATCCATGCATCGGTTCTGTAATTCAAATGCCCATTTAAAGACAGGCTAATCCACACAGGTACATGTGTGTGGCCTGAATATGAACTTAAAGATATCTCCTTAAAAGCTCCAATCTGTAAAACATACATTAAAGAAAAGTAAATGTAGGAAAATTATCCTCAGGTTTTAATAACTTTGTTTTTTCTATTTCACTAAATGTATATTTCTTTAATGTCAGGGTGAAACCGGCCCCCCAGGACCCGGAGGGCGCAGAGGCACCAGAGGAATCCCTGTCAGTGGAACACTTTTTGATTAAATCAATGAAACATTTATTGAAAGGTGTGTTTTTTCTTCTTCTTGACAATATGTGTGTGTTGTTATACTAACAGGGTTCTACTGGTGATCATGGTCCAGCTGGTGCTGTTGGCTTCCCCGGTACTTCCGTAAGTGGCCGCTAAAAGACGGCAGTTTCCTCCAAAATATACCGATACAAAAAGAAACCCATAAAGATACATTTCCTGTTTCTGTCCCAGGGCGTTGATGGTCAGCCAGGGGTCAAAGGTGAGACAGGAGAGCCTGGTCTGAAGGGAGAGGGAGGTTCACCTGGACCACAGGGGATGGCTGGGAAATCTGGAGGACAGGTACACACATTTAACTGTGTAAATAAAATAGAAATAAAGATTGAACCACTCCCTTCACACTGCTACGCGTGTTTCAGGGACCTGTTGGTGTGACTGGACTGAAAGGTGGCCGAGGAACGCAAGGTCAAACTGTAAGTGAGCCTCTCCTTGTTTTCATCCATTCACAGCCTTCAGTGGAACAACACCTTCAAGATGTCTTTGTTTCAGAGAATGTTCCGATATGCCAACATTCTGTTATGATCATTGAAGTAGATCTTATTTCAAGTGTTTTCTTCCCGCAGGGCTCTTCTGGTTTTCCTGGACTGGCCGGAGGAATTGGAACAGCTGGCTCTGCTGTGAGTTAATAAGTGATAATGATATAAACAATTATCACTTCAAATCAATATTTGTGTTAAATCATGCTGCCAGTATTATAAATGACAGATGTAGAAAGAATGAATACATTCAAACTAAGGGCCTTTAAATCCAAATGTGCATTGAGCAAAGAACACGTGTGTTTCAGGGTGCTGTCGGGGCAGACGGGCCTATAGGTGCTACAGGAAAGCAGGGTCCTTCTGGGATCATCGGGGATAACGGAGCAAAAGGACGTCAAGGGGAGAGGGGGACTACAGGGGCCCCCGGCAGTGCAGGAGAGAAAGGAGACTCCGGAGAGGACGGCCCTGGGGTGAGAGGATCTTTCAGCTCATAGTTCAGGCTGCGCTGTACAGAAATAAATCCTGAGATGTTTCAACTGCTTGTCTGTTCTTATGATTATCTCTCAGGGGCCGGATGGGCCTCCAGGACCTGCTGGGGCCTCAGGACAGCGAGGCATTGTGGGTCAGCCCGGACTGAGAGGAGAGGCAGGCATGCTGGGACTCCCCGGTCCTGCTGTAAGTGTTGCTTCTGACAGAGTTTTACACAAATAAAGTATGTCTGGCTTTGAAATGTGTCCATGACATGTTCCAATTTGAGATTCGATGGCTTTATTGTAATATGCAAGATAATGCAATGTGAGTTGGTGTGAGTTCAAATGCAAGGAAAAGGAGATCATGATAAATGAAATACACAGGAGTCTGGTGCGCTTGGTGTTTTTGATTCATTATTATGTTCTGCTCAGGGTCCACCTGGAAAAGCTGGAGCTTCTGGAGTTCAGGGCGGCAAGGGGCCCTCAGGTGGAGTCGGTTTGCGAGGAGCCAACGGGGCGCAAGGAGACGCTGGCCCCGAGGTTGGTCCATCCATCTGTCCTCTTTTTAAAGTTTCTCAATGTTAGCACTAATAATGACCTTTTGATTATTTGGTATTTATATTTCTCCAAAAATCCAAGCCAAAGAATCTCAATAACTGTAACACATATCAGATTGTTAATAACGTAAGCCAATGTCTAAAATGGCAGCAACCAAAACCAGCAAATAATAGTGAAAAAACTGATTATTTTGATAATAGCTAAACTAAGACATGTTTCAATGGCTGGATTGATTCAGTTTTGTAATGCCCCAATATATTCGGTTTTTTGCTGACAATTTAGCTTTTATATCAAACTTCTTCACTTGAAATGTTCCAGAGAGTTTATCATGTCATTATATGTGTTCTTCAGGGTATCTCTGGAGCAGAGGGGCCTCCAGGGAAGGACGGTCTTTTAGGGGAGAGGGTAAGATGACATTCAGTGTCTGTGTTTTTGTGTTTTTGGACTAGAGGAGCGTATGGTACCATACAGCTGCGTGTACTAACCACTGGTGTGTGTGTGTGTGTGTGTGTGTGTGTGTGTGTGTGTGTGTGTGTGTGTGTGTGTGTGTGTGTGTGTGTGTGTGTGTGTGTGTGTGTGTGTGTGTGTGTGTGTGTGTGTGTGTGTGTGTGTGTGTGTGTGTGTGTGTGTGTGTGTGTGTGTGTGTGTGTGTGTGTGTGTGTGTGTGTGTGTGTGTGTGTGTGTGTGTGTGTTTTCAGGGAGATCGGGGTAATCTTGGTCAAGAGGGTCTGGCAGGAGTCGGTGGGTCTCCAGGAACCGAGGGTCCTGTGGGAATGACGGGCGGTCCTGGACAAAGAGGCAACAACGTGAGTTTCAAAAACACAAGTGAACTACTTAGAATCTAATATGCCACTCAGGGGTGTTGCGATATACACGTACTGATAACAACCACAATATTTTAAAACATGTTAATAAAACGCATACTGTATGATAATATTGTTTAAATAATCCAGCGTTAATAAATGTTTTAGAACAGTTGGAGACTCTCTCTTCATGTCCCTAGAAAAGAATAGGTTACCAAAAAAAGGAACAAAGTACAGAAAGTTAAACATTTGTCTGATTAATTCGTTTTTGCTATACATATCCTTATCGTACAAATATGGTGTAGTGAAACTCTGATAGGGTGGCAGCCCCAATGCTACGTGTGTAAAATACATATAAAAAGCGCTGGTGTTCCGATCACATTTGCAAAGTGGGCTCTGTCATGTTGGTTTGTTTGTTTTGAGTTCAGGGTGGCAGAGGACCCCCTGGATCCCAAGGAGCAGCTGGAATACGGGGAAAAGTGGTAAGTAAGAAATGAGAATCTACCAAGAAAACATACATTTTAAACCCTGTGTTAAACCTTCTATTGACAATTGTGATCATGTGTCTGGGTTAAGGGCCCTCAAGGACCACAGGGGGAGAAAGGAGTTACCGGACTTCATGGAGAGAGGGGACAGAAAGGACACAGAGGCTTCACCGGGCTCGATGGTTTGCCAGGAACAACTGTAAGCAACCTGTTTATCATGAAGGCAACCTCAGATCATGTTCTTCTGGAGCCTTCTTAAACTCGAGCCACAAGGGGGCAGTATAGAGAGGAGTGCAATAAGCTCTAACGAGGTTCACCTTAACCTTATCTGAACACCAAGAGAATGTTCTAGCCAACATGTTAGCTTGTGTATATAAGACACGCCGCTGTCTACATGTCATCATCATCAGCCATTTCATCTGTGATGATGTGTCCCAGATACTTAGTGTTACAGCAAACAGACAGCACCTGTCCTGACAGGTAGCATGTTGGAAAACCAAGGTTCTTATCCCCTTTTGCTCTGCAGATCATTACAGCACTCTTCTTAGCATTGTATTTAACATCAGATTTAACACCATAATCAGAACAAACATTTAGCAACTGTTGAAAACCAGCACTGCTAGGAGAAACAATTGCCAGATCATCGGCATACATAAGATGGTTTACAATCACATTACCAATCACACACCCTGTTTTAGAGACACGTAAATCATCTGATAGATCATTCATATAGATATTAAAAAGGCACGGTGAGAGGAGCCCCCCCTGGCGGACTCCATTACCAACACCAAATGGCACAGAGACTGCATTCCCCCATTTGATCCGCATGCTCTGGTTGGCATACCAATAAGCCAGGATCCTAATTATGCTGTTAGGCACACCCCTTTGTCTCAATTTGAAAAACAGTTTATGGTGGTTAACTCGGTCAAAAGCCTTGGAGGCATCAATGAAACCAATCAGAACAGTGGAACTCTGTCTTCTATATGTTTCTACCATTTCCTTCAAAGCATAGATGCATAGCTCAGTACCATGCTTAGCCTTGAAGCCAAACTGGTTATCTGAGGTACATAAATGAGAACATAGTCTATCTAACAAAATGATTTCCAGGACTTTGGATAACACACTGGCTAGAGCAATTGGTCTATAATTAACCAAAGTTACAGTCAGGATACTTCAAACATGTTTCCAGATGAGCTTTGAATCTCTTCAGTTCAAACTAAAGATTTCAGTTGATTACATTTCACTTTTTTGTTTCAGGGCGCTACAGGGGAGCCTGGATCCACGGGTGTTGTTGGACCCACGGGGCCCAGGGTGGGTGTTTAATGGCACCATGCAGTTACATTTGCAATCAAGAGCAAGTGCAGGTCTTATTTGAAAGTGTTCAATTCTCTCTCTAGGGGCCTCCAGGAGTGTCAGGGCCTCCAGGAAAAGAAGGAAACATCGGACAGCCTGGACCAATGGGGGCTCCTGGAAGCAGAGGCTCCAGTGGAGAACTCGGGGCCCAGGTGACACATTTTCATATTCCATATATCAGCCTATTGGTATTATCTTTAGAGAGGTACAGTGAGGAGAACGTTATGGTGTTAGTCAAAGATGAACATTTATTGGAGTGTTTTGACATTTAACATTTTCAGATTACTTCTATCTTATTCACTGGATAGATAGAGAAGATATGGCCCAAAAATATTAAGAATATAAAAGACTTTGTTTTGTTAGAATATTGTGGGGAAAAAACTTGCAACATGTAAGATCATAATAAAAGTAAATGTGATTAAACAGCAATAGGTTACAACAGTAAAGACAGCGGACAATATAGTGCATTTGACTTAATATCTTAACTTCATATTTATCTGTCAGGGTCCTCCTGGTGATAGTGGACCTTCTGGCCTCCCAGGACCACCAGGGCCCCCCACCTCAGCTATGGAAGACCTCTTCGCTGCTCACTACGACTACGACGGGAAGGGTGGTGTTCCAGAAGCTCTGGAATTCGTGGAGGACGACGTGGCTGCCTTTGCCCCTCTCCTCCCAGAGATCAATAGAGATGAAGCCCTCCCCAATAAGAAGTCAGCCCTCCTGCGCGCAGACACCGGGGTCCAGGCCTCGCTGAAGACCCTCAGCGGACATCTGCAAAACCTCCGTAGTCCTGACGGCAGCGAGGGGAACCCTGCCAAAACCTGCCAGGACATCAAGCAGTGCTACCCCCAGAAGCCCAGCGGTGAGGGTCCCGTTTACTGCTTACATCATTTTGCATTCTTATTTTCAGTGTTGACCTGTAGTTGTGTTATACAAAACATTACGCCCATAATATTCACTGGGCTTTAAAATGGACACCCAGGGTGAGTTTTGTTTCCTAAATAGAGAATCAATCAGGATTAAGACAAAAAATATAAATAATAGTATATTTATCTTTTTGAGTAAAGCACGTGTGTTCCTATGCTTCACTATGTGTTCAATATAAACGCATGCATGAAATCGATTTACTCTCCAATCTTTTCCTACCTATTTCTATTTCTTTTATTGATGCCATATATGTACTAAAACCTATATCTGTGACCTCGTGTGTCCTACAGGTGAGTACTGGATTGATCCAAATCAAGGAAGCACAAAGGATGCCATCAAGGTCTTCTGTAATATGGAAACTGGGGAAACCTGCATCTCTGCAAATCCTGCTGAGATTCCCCGCAAAGCCTGGTGGACCAAATCCAGTCCCAGCACCAACAAACCCGTCTGGTTTGGAGCTGACATCAGTGGAACCAGAGTAAGACATTAAGAGATGTGGTTCGTTGGTTTCATACCAAACCTTATCAACTATACAAACCTTAAGTTGCCCTGGTTGTAATCATCAAATGTACATCTGATTTCAGTTCCGCTACGGAAATAACGAGGAGAAGCCCAACGCCGTGGCCGTTCAGCTGAAGCTGCTGCAGCTTTTGTCCAAAGAGTCTCACCAGAGCATCACCTACCACTGCAGGAACAGCGTGGCGTACAAAGACGAGAAGACCACCAACCTGAAGAAAGCTCTGGTCCTCCGAGGCTCCAACGGCCAGGAGCTGAGGGCGCAGGGAAACATCCGCCTCCGATACACCGTCACCGAGGACGGCTGCTCGGTAAGACATCCAGCGGACATTACCCGGTATACGATTGGAAATGCGGCGATAGCCTGAAATGATGGCAGCACGGATTGAGATCATCTGTCCAAGTCTGTCTTTACCACACTGCCAGAGCCCATACCGTGTTCCCTTTAGTGTTTACTTCCTGTCTTCTTTGAACCTCTTTCCTTCTCAGGCTTTCTTGTTCTCTTCTCTTTTCACTTCTTGGAACAGTTCAGCCATCATGAATCCAAAGTTTGAAGCTCCCCACAGATATAAAAATGAATATTCACAAAACACGCCGTGGTGTTCCCAAATGGAGAAAGCTAGCTAACGTTGAAATGAACAGACTTTTTTACTGCAGATTGATATACCTGCACGTGGTCTATTGAAAAACAGAAGACTGCTGAATATCCAAATCGACCAATCAGAATGTATTGAACTAAGGCAAGGCAAGGCAAGGCAAGTTTATTTATATAGCACTTTTCAACACAAGGCAATTCAAAGTGCTTTCCAAAAAATGAAAGAGATTAAGAAAATGGCATTTAAAATCAGTCATTAAAAAGAAAAGCTAATAAAATAAACATTAAAAGAAAAAAATACATGGCAGTCAATTAAACATTAAAAGAAAAAAGTACATGGATAAAAGTTACAGTGCAGTCTAAGATATGAATAGTTCAATTAAAAGCAGCGACAAAAAGAAAAGTCTTCAGCCTGGATTTAAAAGTAGTCAGAGTTGCAGCGGACCTGCAGGTTTCTGGGAGTTTGTTCCAGATATTTGGAGCATAATAACTGAACGCTGCTTTACCATGTTTAGTTCTGACTCTGGGGACAGAAAGCTGACCAGTCCCTGAAGACCTGAGAGATCTGGATGGTTCATAATTTAGCAGGAGGTCAGAAATGTATTTTGGGCCTAAACCATTCAGTGCTTTATAAACCAGCAGCAGTATTTAGAAATCTATTCTTTGACACACAGGAAGCCAGTGTAAAGACTTCAGAACTGGAGTGATGTGATCCACTTTCTTAGTGTTAGTGAGGACTCGAGCAGCAGCGTTCTGAATTAGCTGCAGCTTCTTAATAGATTTTTTAGTGAGACCTGTGAAGACACCATTGCAGTAGTCGAGTCTACTGAAGATAAAAGCATGGACACGTTTTTCCAAATCCTGCTGTGACATTAGTCTTTTAATCCTAGATATATTCTTTAGGTGATAGTAGGCTGATTTAGTAACAGTTTTAATGTGACTGTTGAAACTCAGGTCAGAGTCCATGACTACACCTAGATTTCTGGCTTTATCTGTTGTTTTGAACATTGCACACTGAAGCTCAGTGCTAACTTTTAAACGTTCTGCCTTGGCTCCAAAAACCATTACCTCAGTTTTATCTTTGTTTAATTGGAGAAAGTTCTGACACATCCAGTCATTGATTTGTTCAATGCACTTACTCAGTGTTTGAATTGGAGCATAGTCTCCTGGTGAAATTGTTACGTACATTTGTGTGTCATCTGCATAGCTATGGTAACTTATTTTGTTGTTCTTCATTATCTGAGCCAGTAGCATGTAGACGTTAAAGAGAAGAGGCCCCAAGATGGAGCCTTGAGGAACCCCACATGTCATATTTGTCAACTCAGATGTGTATTTACCGATAGAAACAAAGTTGTTTCTGTCCTTTAAGTAGGATTCAAACCAATTCAGAACTGTTTCCGAAAGTCCCACCCAGTTTTCCAGTCGGTCTAGTAATATGCTGTGGTCAACAGTGTCAAACGCAGCACTGAGATCTAATAATACTAACACTGAAGTTCTGCCACTGTCTGTGTTTAAGTGGATGTCATTAAAGACCTTTACAAGAGCAGTCTCAGTGCTATGGTTTGGACGAAAGCCTGACTGGAACACATCGAAACAGTTATTTAAATGCAAGAAATGACTCAACTGTTGAAAAACAACTTTTTCAATGATTTTACCTAGAAATGGCAGGTTTGATATGGGCCTGTAATTGTTCATTACTGAAGCATCTAGATTATTCTTTTTTAAGAGCGGTTTAATGACTGCAGTTTTCAGGGCCTGTGGAAAAATACCTGAGTGAAGAGATTTGTTTACTATATGAAGTAGATCTGAGGCCATGCAAGGCAAAACATCTTTGAAAAATCCTGTTGGAATAATATCAAGGCAGCAGGAGGAGGATTTCAGAAGTTGAATAATGTCCTCTAGGTTTTTATCATTAATCTGATGGAATTGTGTCATGATGTCTGAATTGATGTTAAGTGGAGATAGGGACAACACATTTGCTAAGCCTTGTAATAACGTAGAATTACTAGATGCAATGTATTCTGATTACAAGAAGCCTTCCACTGATATCACCTGTCTTTCTTTTCCCTTAGAAATCAAATGGGCAGTGGGGGAAGACAGTGATTGAGTTCAGGACTCTAACTGCTGCCCACCTGCCCGTTGTGGACGTGGCCCCCATGGACATAGGAAAGCCTGATCAGGAGTTCGGCCTGGACATCGGCCCTGTGTGTTTCTCATAAAACAACACAAGATGGACAGAAATAGGCTTTTTCTAGAGGAGTAACGTCACCAGAAAATGAAAGAATAAGGACTTGTCTTTCTGTGAGCGAACACGTCGATGAAGGGTAGCTTCTTGTACACATGGCTGCGTTTCCCAAAAGCCATTAAAGGTCAGTGTACTCACTCTATGACCGACAGGAAGCTGACGTAATTTATTCACCTTGTCAATACATGTACTATAGAGCACCAGTACTACAGGGAAATGCATGTGAGATGAAAGGTGAAGTCTAAAGGAGCTAACAAAACAAGATTTTATTGAATTGTGCATAAACTGGAAAAAACAGCCAACAATATTAAAGACATGTTTAAAGCAGAATGCATAAGTGTTTATAGCAAAAATAAAAGCGTTCAAAACCTTATTCACTTGGCTTTTTTCCAGTAAGTGCACACCGGAGGTCTGAAAAGGGAAAGAGTTAACAAAGAAGTGACTGTAGTTATTAATTTTAATAGTATAAACAATGAACAACATGTTTGAACCTAATTTATTAAGTTCTGTGCAGGAACCTATTACACTTTAAACCTTCATATTTCATTATAACATTTCAACTGTAAATGCAACATATGACTGTAAATGACAAATAATTTGTTTGTTGTTGACTATGGATGTGGAATAAATGTATGTATTTGGAATGACTGGAAGACATTCCCAGCACAACCAAAGCCAGAAAAGTTGAATAAACATTTGTTTCCCCGTAAAGAAGAAGAACATTTAGCTTTAAATGAACTCAGAAATGACAGAAATATAACCTTTTGACCACAAGAGGGCGACAAAGCTTTTCTTTACAGTGATCGGCCATCCCAGGAGAGAAATAACAACCATCAAGAAGGAAACTAGTACATTTGTCTCATGAAACATTCAAACAAATTGACTTACATTTTGATAACATTTAAACTGCATCCACCCTCATTTAAAACAAATACATACTAGGCGCTTAAAAAGGTGTCTTGGCGGAATGCAGATGGGTGTGTGGTGAAATGAGAAGGGGTAAAAAGAGCCAAAGAGAGAGAAGGCGTTCTTACAGGAAGAATGAAAGTCAAAGTTCAGGCAGCACATGTTCCTGGGTCGACCTCTCCTCTCTGCGCTCGCTGAAAGACGTGACACTCTCACCGTTTCCTGCAGCCTCGCTCCACTTCTGTGAGCCGCTCATTTTTAGCCAGGGCCTGCTATTTTCATTTTTAGCCTGGAACATTAGGAAAGATTGAAGTGGAGCAGGTTGAAGGAATCTGAACAGCGCTTTTCAATAAACCCCTCAGCACATTATGAACACACACAGAAAACTGTTTGAAATTCAGACCTTAACCACCCTTTTCACTGGAAGTCCATTTAAATGATTTCAATATGTCTCAGGTGACTGCAGAATGTCACGGCTGAGATTAACCATACTGCTGTTATTTTATACTATTCATAATTTAAGGGTAATTCATGCATTCGTGTCACTTTTATGGTCAGACTACCAACACACACAATCTTTATCTTTAATGATTTTGTCATCCTTAATTTGTATTCGCCTATTAATAATGCCACCGTGTGATTTATGTTGCTTTTTTACATCAAACAATATACATAAGAGACTGCAGCCATCTTAGTTTGGCAGCGAAGCGGTCACTGGTTTTGCAAATGATTTGTCACAAGACGAAGAATGCACACATTTTCTAGGGACGTGACCAGTTAGATAAGACCAGAACCCCTCACTCCTCTATCTCCCCTCACTTTCTAACATGTCAAACGTGAAATCTGTTTGAAAGCCTGATGGAGTTTGATTCGGCGTTAGTCAACGTGATGTGATTCTGCTTCACACAAACGTTGACCGTTGGAGTCTACGACCCCGATACGATTTGGCAGTGACGCCCAGATCCTGGCTGGGTGTCTCTTGTTCGCCGAGGAGCCTCCATGAGATTTCCCAGCTACTCCTTTCCTTCCTGTGCCCCCTCCAACCCCACCTCCCTGACGCCCCTCCAAACACTTAAAGAATCATGAGAAAGGATCCCACTAGAGCAGTGCTTCTCAAAGTGTGGTCCGCGGACCACTGGTGGTCCGTGAGCGCCCTCTAGTGGTCCGTGAGTATATTGGTAACATTTCACATTTGAAATAAATACATTTTAAGTTTTTTCCGCACTCTCGCGGGAATATCTCCGCAATGGAACGAGCTTAAGTTTCACTTTCGATTGCATGATATAGCCCAGATAAACACCTTCATCACACATGTTGCCACTTGTTTGTACCATTTTCAGGGGATTTATAAAAAACGATGTGTTTTTGGATATTTGTGGAGTTAGGTGGTCCGCGAGTGTTTTTTTATTGGTTAAGTGGTCCTTGGTATGAACAAGTTTGAGAAACACTGCACTAGAGGCCTACAATGGCTGAAAGCATGGAATTAATGAAAAGTATTAAGATTGTTCATCTTTTATTAAAGTAGTGCATTGTGGGAGTGTGTTGTCAAATTCTCAAGAATGCATAGCCACTTGCATGTGAAATGATTGTATTTTTTCTACAAATGTCCATATCCAAAAGTTAAATTAAATCAGATTCCCACACACTAATTTGCACTTCACATGGGTGAACACATTCACATACACACATTCTTACACACACCCCTCCTCATAAGGGAAGTGGGCCGCTTTAACATCCCACCTTTCCCAGATCCTGGGAGGAGCATGTGCCTGGTGGCTGGGGGGGGGGGCAGAACAATGGCAGGAAACTGGGAGAGGAGCGAGAGTTCCTGTTGGCATCAGGCTGCTGAAGACGAGAGCAGAGCCCCCCCCCCTGCGCGGTAGGAACTGGGCTATTTAACACTGTTATAAGTTTATTGTTTGAGAAGGGTGGAAGGGCGGGATGTCTTAGATGTCCTGGAAAAAGAAAAGAAAGGAGAATACTTACAGTTCCCTATGGCTATCTGGTCACTTTCACACCTAGCCTTGTGGATAATAAGTATGTATTATACCTAATACACCCACATCAAACAAAGGAATACATTTTAAAATACTTTATTAAAACTTAAATTGATATGTGTTTGCCGACTTTTTTCCCACCGGCACTACGATAAAAGCTGCAAAAAAGTCAATTGCTGAGACAGTGCACACCAGAAATGATCCTGTAATATGAGACACTTTAAATGTTAATAATTTATTTAAACTATTTCTCATTGGTTCATCAATAATAATGTTGCAAACAAGTGAGATCTGGAAGGGTTATGCAGCCCAAACAATCAAAATGATGCTAAAATAGAAGACAAATCTCTGATGACATCAAACTGAGGCTTCTTTCTGTTTCTTTCAATATGAATGCATCTTGAAAGGTGGTGACATCTGGCCCACAGCTGCCAGAAAGAAAATGAAAGAACACTAAACCCATGGCCAGGTCTATGGAATTGAACCATCCACCCGATGAATTCTTCTGATCATGACGCCCCTCCAGAAACACCACAGCAGTGAAGCTACCAGACGTCCAAGTGTTGACATCACTCGGATCAGTCCTGACCCCGCCGCGGTGCTCTGAAGGGGCCGTGCAGCGAGCGGCAGACTTCCTGCGGTCCCACCCAGACCCGGGTCACATCACACAGCCGGGCCACATTGCTCACCCTAACCCCTGTACTGTACGCCCTCCACACCCTCCACCACGGCCAAGAACTCCTTCCATTGTTCTCCAGAGTGAGACATCCCCACGCTCAAGTGGCCTCATCGCGCTTGTGTGTGGCAGAGCATTGTTTTCTGAAATGTAAATGTTTGAATTAAAGGGATTTACTGGAAAGTGTAGTCATTTTTCCTTCGAAAGGGATCTGTGTTTCCTCAGCTAACTTTGTAATTAACTAATAAAGCTTTAATGCTAATCTTATTTTTTTTGTAAGCGATGTGCAGCACTTCCCATAAATCTCCATTTAATCAAAGTCATGATGTATTGACCTTCTCTCACGTATGATCTGTTTCTGAAGGGTTTACTGGTTGTTCTTTGGCTCTTTGCATTCCTAGAATACCACTTTTGCTGTTGCTGGAAAGGTGAAATGAATCACATCTTAAAAGGATCATTAAAAGGTGTTTGGTAAGATACTTTATTATAACGTGGAAAGGACCTTTGAATGTCCCAAAATCTGCTCTTAACCCCATATTTATGCTGTATAATTTGTTTTAATATAGTCTTTAATGAAGTCCCTATAAATACACACTGATTTGTACCTTCTGTTCTGCAACCCAAGAAGAAAGTGTGAAATTGAAATGTTTAACACTGTCACACAAAAACTAAATCCTTGTGTATATTTCTGCTTTTGGGACAGACTGAGCTCCTCAGGAATGGTACATGTAACATTGTGTCACTTTTTGTTGGATACTCAAGGGAAGATTACTCTTAAAGCAAATTGATTTACGCGGTTGTTTTCTACAATTTCTTGTGCAGCTTTGGTGTGGGTTTGTCTACATGTTCATGTGGCTCCATTCAGTCCTTTCCTGTGGAAATGTTCCTGAGAAATACCTCGAATTCTGCATGATGGAAATACATCCAAAACATCGGCTATAGGCTTTAGGATTCAGTGGATGCATGCGGAAGTGAAAGCAGTAAACAAGTTAGTCATGAGACTGAGGAAGTGTTTGCTACCAGCACGCAAGAGCCGACAGACCAACAGTTCAATGGCAATTTATTCTTAGAAACAGGAAGCCTGCAATACATCCACTGCTCTGATTGTGGTGTTGTGATAGGTAAACAACAGAAACATCTTGAGATCTGTTACATGTGGATTTCTATCATTCTAAAGGAAGAGTGTGCCTTTAGAAACCACTCAGGTCACCATCTTTCATATATGGTGTTACAGGATGCATGTTAAAAGTTGTATTGTAAAAATGACACATGTTAGTGTTCTGCACACGGGATCCTTTGGGACTGAGATCATGAAAAGCATGCAATATAGTTTGTAAATATCCCCTACAGTGACAAACCCTCACACACATGCTTTTGATCATCGTGGCTCCGCAGACAGACACAATGAAAGTGGCACGCTTAGTGCTTTTGCAGTGTCTCTTTTGCATTTGATAAACGGTGCAGTGAAAGAATACATATAGCCCTTTTCCTCTGGGACTTCCTAATTGCACCATGGTCCATTAAGGATGCTGGACGAGGAACAGACAGCAGCACGCCCTGCTTTGTCTGGAAATAATATTCATTTTAGTGGGTAATGTTTTCTAAGGTCACACAAGGAAATCCCGCCCTCAATTAAATGATGTGGGAGAGAAAACAGTTAGATCTTTTATTTCATTTGTCTACGAAGACATTAAGGGAGGAAAAACAAAGGCAGTGACTCTTTGTTTCTGAATCTCAGTTTAAAACAGCTTGTTTTTATTTACAGCATTATTTCTCCAGTATTAACAAGCATTTATTGACAGAACTATACAACATGAAAATGAGTAGAATGATTGTGTGTAACATAAGGTGACCACATTTTCTAAATTAAAACCGGGGACATTTTGAGTTTTGCGGTCAATATATCATTAACATATCTAATTTTCTTCACTGTTAAAGAAAAAAGGGGGACAATTCTAATGTAATTTGAAAATGTTAACTGTTGGATAGCTCATATATGAGACTGGGAGGCGTGTGGCGCAGTAGTTTAGTGCGTTGGTGTTCGGATCAGGTTCAAACCCCACTGCAGTCAGCATGTCGTTGTGTCCCTGAGACACTTCACCCCAAATTGCTCCTGTGGAGATTGCCCACAGTATTGAGTATGTAAGTCGCTTTGGATAAAAGCGTCTAACAAGTGACATGTAATGTAATGTAATGAGACTTCAAAGGTATTTTATTTTTAAACTGTACATCAGATTGTCCAGATTCTCTCTGAGTGATTAGATGGGGTGTCCTGCTATCACCCTGAAGTGAAACAAGTACTTAATACTGGATAGTTTTTGTTTTATTCTTATCTAAAAACAGAAGGACGATAGCCCATATATGAGATTTCAAAAGTATTTTATTTTGAAATTCTACATCAGATTGTCCTGATTTTCTCTGATTGACTAGATGGAGTCTCCTGCTATCACCCTGAAGTGAAATAAGTATTTGATTGACTTCGAATGACTCTTTGTTTATGGACGGTTTCCATTAAATAATAATCAAAATATAGATGGACAATAGATCTAATTTGAGATTTTAAACAGCATACATTTTAAATTGTGCTTCAGAAAGTAATGTTATTTTAGGAGTGTTGTGAGATGGTGTCAACATCAATTGAAATTAGTCACCCAGTGGAAATGTCAGATATGTCTTCATAACTGTATACTTACATTTTACATTCACTCAGTTATGATGTGGTAGTTATACATACTTTGTTTTAAATGAGTATTGATCACATTATATAGTACATATTTCTTAATTTAAACTCCAGTATATATGAATATGTTTGGTGTGTTTTTTAGGTATATTTGTTATTGACCGAGTAAACGCTTTTATTTTGAAGGCAGTTTTTACAGGCCTCTACCGTAATGCATAGGATATTCGCGCACCGCAATATAACGTGCGGGCTGGCTTGACTGTGTTTTCCGAAGTGGGGGCTGGCTTGACCACAGTCTGTTTACCCAGTGTTTCCTGACATGAAACGTTTTATTTCACCTTGCTATGTGTTTTTAACGTATATTAAAAAACGGGGACATTTCCGGGGACAGTTTCAACCGGGGACAGGCCAATACAAACGGGGACTGTCCCCGGAAAACGGGGACGTCTGGTCACCCTAGTGTAAAAGCATGGGAAAACACACTTCTGTGATTCAAACCATTTATTTTGAATATTTTAGATAATATATATCCTTCTCCTTTCAAAGTTGCCTGTGTTAATACAAAGCCCTATTATTATTGAGATTCTGTGTGCAGAAAACCCAAGCTATATTCTTTTTACGTGTGTTTTTTTGAAGAAATCGCGGTCTCTTTATGCTATGCTAAGCTAACATAGCATACTCAATGGGAAATGTGAAATGGACGTCATTTATACAGTGCTTTTCCAGTCTTTCGGACCCCTCAATGCTTTGAAATTGTTCTAAATCATTATAGTACATTATAGTAACTATTTTTTTAGCATTATAAAATATTCAGTGCTTCAGATTTAAAGGTTTAGTTTCCGCTCTTTATGCTAAGCTAAGCTAAGCACATTCTTACTGAACAGACCGAGTGGTTTTGATCTTCTCACCCAAACCTCGTCAAGGAAGTGAAAAAGTGTATTTCCTGTTTGGAAAGGCTGAAACCAGCAGCTCTTCACTCGACAGGAAAGTAACATTGTATTTTACTGAAGGTGACTAACTTTATCTTATCAGTCAATCAACATGTCAGTTCCTGCTGAATTCTTTTTTTTGTATTCCTCTAGAAGGTTGATACTACTACAGTGATTAACCAGTTGCAGTCTGTGGACAAACGTAACATAAGTACTGTACAAGGATGTGTTCTTAGCTGACTAAGTATAAATAGTTCACTAAAGGCTTCATATGTTGTGCCTCCATATGTCATATTCATACAGAACACAAGACATTTTCTTCTGTGAATCTTAGTCTCCCCAGCATTTTGGAATATCAGATATTAGGCAGGAACAGTGAGCCTGACTTATCTTCTAAGACCTCATACATAAATAGAAAACTCTGAGTTGCATGCATTTAATTAAAAGTAGTTAAAAAGCAGGAATGACATTTAGCTAGCAAGCTAATTATTTGCTCTATTTTTACGTTTGTACTTTTTGGTGTAGTTCTGTATAGTCTAACAAAAAAAAGCATGCTACTTATTTTACTTTTCTTGACTGATTGGCATTAAGTTTTTCTTTCCAACTTATTTGTTGCTATTTCAAGTGCGCCATTATGCTAGCTCCTGCTAACTCTGGCTCTTGCTATCAAGAGATGAGTTGTGAAAACAGGGTTTTCGTGCATCACCTTTCCACAGCACCAACCACCCATTTTAAAATGGTATCTTCAAGTTAATCCACACGATGGAAAAAAGCATGAAATCCTTAAGTTAATGCTTTACAGTGACACCGTTAGATTCAGGGGGTCTTCCTTTTGTCCGGCAATGGGTCCTTTGAATATTTGTAGGGTGTCCTTTTGTTTTGGTAATATTTGTGAAAAAGGGTAATTTAGTTTTTAGTTTTTTTGGATGAGAGATTTAAAAATAATCACAAAGTTTGTATTCATCTCCCATGAACAGTAGTAACACTCCAAGAAGACGTCAATCTTGGTAACATCGTGGTAGAGGTCAAAGAAACGGTGTCTCACGTGTCTCCTTCACACGAAAGGGCTGTCCGATCTGAAGATGTCTGAGTAGCTCTTGCCGTTCATGTGCTCGGTGTGGCTCTCAATGCTGTAGCAGCGGTGGACCTCTGTGAGCGACGACGCCACGTAGGAGGCCGAGCGGAAGAAGTCGGCGTTGGCAAACGTGCCAGAAAACTGCATCCGCTGCTGGTTCCAATTCCTCCGCAGAACGCTCTGAACCTGCAGGAAGAGGCAGAGAAGAAGGTGGTCAAAGATTGCACTATTCATATTCTATTTTATCTTTAGGAAAACTTTAAGCAAAGACCATATATAATACACTTTTGGTGCATTCATATCCATAATTGAAGCGTCCATCTAGACATGTAGCCAGTATTAAAGGTCACCTATTGTGCAAAATGCACTTTTTGATGTCTTTTTAAATAAATATGTGTCCCCGGTGTGTAAGGAGACTCACAAGGTGTCTGAAAATACAGCCCTCTCTCTTTTCCTCCTTACCCACATCTCTAAAAACGGGGGTACAACGGAGCTGATCCAGATTTGCTGCGGTCATGACGACATTACAAAAAATGTGGGCTGGCTTTACGTTGAACTCCTGGCAACGTTCCGCCCACGGCCTTATCGTCCCCTATCAGAAACGTCGCTGTATCAGAAACAATGTGCAACGTGTTTTGGAAGTAATATGGTCTGCGTTTACATTAGCAAGCATCGCTAACACTCAGAGCTAACCTGTACTGGAGAGAATATGTGTAAAGAAGCCGGATATAAAAGGTTGTGGTAAACCCGCGAGAGAGAAAGAGTTTGAGCTCCATACTGTATTCAGAAATAATCCTTGATGTGGTTTGGAACATAATATGGCGTTTAACCACGGCAGCGTTTAGCTGAGTTTCTGCTGAGTAGACAGCCTTCTCTTCACAGAGCTCACTGCTTGGATGCTCTAAAGGGGCGTGGCCAGCAGCAGCTCGGTTACATTTAAAGGGCCAGACGCAGAACCAGCACTTTAGTAACATGGCTGAAATAGAGGGGTATGACGCATGGCTACAATGGGTGATCTGTTTGGTATTTTGAGCAAAACACTTAAAATACATGTTTTGTAAAGATATGGCCCTATAATATATTGTTCAAATATAGCATAATAGGTGACCTTGAAGGTCACGGAGCTCATCTCCTCTTTTATATTCCATTTCATGCTTGTGTATGTGATATAAACACAACAAATGTTACACAGCATCGGACAAATGTAATACTGAATCAAGCTCAATACTCACCTCTCCGTTAAAGAAGCAGAAAATTGTAGAAACCAAGAGACCCTGCAAAGATACACAAGATCCCTTAAGCCACATATTCATGCTCTTATTCTAGAAAGGTCACTTTTAACAACAGTATTATTGAGGATATTGCCGTTGGACAGTTATGCAACAAGAGCATGGATTGTTATATAATGCACCAGTGATTTTTATTGGCACAATTACCTGGTAGTGCATGAGGATCTCCATGACGTACAGGTAGATCTCAGAGACCCAGTGCTCTTGGGGCTTGTAGGGGACCAGCACGAACTGGATGCCGAGGAGGGGGATGAGGATGAGCGTTGCTCTCACCGCCCTCATGTAGAGGCTGGACTCGGCCTGATGCGTCACTCTCAGCTTTGTGATAAGAACCCGAACGATGTTCAGCAGGAAGAAAAGATTCACCTGGAAACCAAAAGTCGTTACAACCCAAATGCCTGTGAAACAGTCTTGGCAGAAGTAAGTCTTTAGTGGGTCAGTGAATCAGGATTTCTTACCACCAATGCTGCACAGATGGGGCCATGGATAATGTACAGCAAGGAGGTATCTGAGCTGACCCAACATCTGCAAAAGCATACATCACATTATCATAAAACACACATGATTTATTTCGAAATGGTCATCATAATTTAAAAGACTCACTTGTCGTTGTAGAAGGAGTAGCGCGCTATCGAATGTATCAATGTCGGCACGAGTGGAAAACCTGCAGAATGCAACGAGAACATTTATGGCAATTCTCCTGACCTGCATCACCACCTGGACTGTAAATCAAGTACAGACCACTCCCCTCACTAAAGCCTATAAAGCTCCGCCCCTCAGGCCTGTAAGCTCCAAAAAACGCTAAAAGGCTTCTGGGTTGGGAGTTTCAATGAGCACACAACACCAGATGTTCAGGGAGCCATTTGACAGTAACAGTGCATAAATATGTCTTTACGCAGAGGTGGGAGGAGTACTAAGATCTTGTACTTAAGTCAAAGTAGAAGTATTCAGATCTGTAACTTAAGTCAAAGTAGAAGTACCACAGAGTACTCTGTTACAAGTAAAGGTCCTGCATTCAAAATGTTACTCAAGTAAATGTAGAAAAGTATTATCATCAAAATATAGTTAAAGTACCAAAAGCAAAAATAGTCATTGTGCAGATTGGTCCATTCCAGAATAATATATATGATATTTTTTATAATTATTGATGCATTAAAAAGCATCAAAGTTGGTAAAGATGGTGCAGCAAGTTTGAATGACTGTGTATACTGCAGCTTGTGAATTTCTCCAGGTGGAAGTAAAGTCTGATTTAAGAGTTGATTACATTTCACATCATGAATCAAAGTACAAAATTGTACTTAAGTTGAGTGGTTGAGTAAATCTCTCTGTGTCTTTTACATACCCCAGCCTAGCAGGTAGTACCACACGAGGTGTTGTTTTTCTGCAAACACCGCAACCACGATCAGGGTGTGGAGGTAGATGCCCTCACACAGCATCCAGAAGTAGTTACAGCTCAGCAGGTACAGGTGGATGAACATGAGCAGCTTGCAGCATACCTAGAAGGGAAAATAAAAATCAGTCTTCATGTTTTCAATGATTTAAAACAATTTTGGTAGGATTTAGAAAGGTGGAATCACTCACAGAATCGTTGTACGTGTGTCCCTGTTTCTTTACCACAGTTGTAAGCCAGACAACAGTGATGATGGAGTTCAGCACGAATGAGAGGAAGAGGTTTTTGTGGAGCGTTATCCTCTGGCAGCTCAGACTCCTGAGGGCAGCCGATGTAAATGTTGATAAATTATCCATAAGAAATGTTAAGAGATACTTACATTTAGGAGAATCTAAAAGCTGACTACACATTTTATGCTTTCTGGCAATCGTGTCCAATCAAACCTGGCTGCCTTTTGATAAGTTACAGTATTTATCTCATTAAAGGCCCCCTATTATACTCTTTCTCATCAATATATTATAGTTATCAGTTATACACAAAACATGTCTCTGAAGTGTTTGGTTCGAAATACCAAACAGATTGTACATTTTAGCATCTCATAATCCCCTCTGTTTCAGCCCTGTTTCAAAAGTGCTGATTCTGTGTCTGTAGCTTTAAATGCTAATGAGCTGCTGCTGGCAATGCCCCTCTGGGAGATATTTGGTAAAAAATAACACAATAGGCGCTTTCACATCAAGTACTTTGCCGTACTTAGTTCATCAGAACTCTTTAGTTCTGATGAACTAAAGAGTTCTGATGAACTAAAGAGCAGATCGCGTTCACACCGGAATAAGTCCCTGGGCGAGGATTAGGCAAATGAAGCCGCTGACGTCACTTCTTCTGCTTTGGGTTTACTGGCAGGCCGCAAACAACTTCACGGCGTATACTGCCGCCCAAAGTCCCCGGCCGGAAGTCCCCGGAGTTGGGGACTGGCTTCAGTAGAAGATGCTGGGACTCCCAGCAGCTTCTACTGAAGCCTTCCGAGTAAATCGCCAGAACGCCGACACCTCCTCATCTCCACCGCTCCCATGTTTTATTTTGTGTTGCCATAAGTTAGTCTCTCTGCGTTGGTGCGCTGGGCTAATGCTAATGCTAATAATGCTAATGCCAGCAAATAAAATGGCGGCTTCACAAAACATTTGTTTTACGGGCCGTGGTTTGCAATTCGCCCAGCCAATCAGAAATTGGAACCTTTTCCTCCCCAGGAAAGTACCACCTCTCTAGCAGGGACTAAAAAGGGGTGAAAAGGTTCGCAAAAAAAAGTTCTAGTTCCAGATCTTTTTGGTGTGAACGCAAAATCCCAGGAACTATCGGAACTATTCCTGGGAAAAGTACTCCTGTGTGAAAGCGCCTAATGGTGCTCTCGGAGGAGATTCAGGTGATAAGGTATATATAAATGGATCAGGACAAAAAGAGAGAGAATCGTTTTTCCTGAAACTTTCAGAATCTCTTTACACAGAGGGGACACATATTTATGAATGAAAGACATGACAAATTGGATTTTGCATAATAGGTGAAATTTAAAACATTAGCACAATATAATACTTACTTAAAATTGAAGAATATTCCTAACGATATGAGCAGTGATACCATCGACAGGCCGTGACCAATCATAACAAGGTAGAAGTGAGTCATTGCCGCCTGCAAGAAAACAAAGAATAAATACATCTTAAAAGTAAAAGCTGCTTTATATAATAAGTATAATGTCTTTATTCCTCCTTACTCTCCCGTGATGCGTGGTGTTGGCTTGGCAGTTTGTGAAGTTGGTCCACGTCCTGTTGCTCTCGGGGTGGCGTCCCCACTCGCCCGTTTCTGAGCACACTTTGGAGGCCATTGCTGTGAACACATTTGCAACAACAAAATTACATTTATGTTTGTGTTCGGATTAAGCAAATTAAATATAATAGGAAATTAGATGAGATGTAAAGATTGGCTGTTTCCCCCTGCCATCCTGTCTGTTTTATGATAAGCTAAAGTGGCATTGATATTCATCTAAGAAAAGGAGTAAAGGTCACATTTTCTCAACCAAAATCAGAAGGATAGCCGAAGAGCTTCACCATCTAAAGACTAGAAATTATTCTTAAAAACAGTGGGAATGCACTTTTAAAAAATGGGAATACGTTTATTGTTTTTCCATTAATAGGTAAACGTCCTTTTTCGACAGCCTCAACTTAAAGGTCTTCTATTATAATAATGTAGGGATATATTATAGGTCTCAGATATATAAAAAACATATTTTTGAAGTATTTTTGCTCAGAATACCAAACAGATCACCCATTGTAGCCATGCCTCATACCCCTCTATTTCAGCCCTGTTACAAAAGTGCTGATTCTGGGTCTGGCCCTTTAAATGTAACCAATCTGCTGCTGGCCACGCCCCTTTGGAGCATCTGCATGCAAGCGGTGAGAGAGGATTGTATTTTCTGACACTTTGGGACTCTCCTTACACACCGGCGGGGACACATATTTATGTATAATAGACATCGAAAAGTGCATTTTGCACAATAGGTGACCTTTAACTATACAAAAAAAAAGGTTTTTAAGTTAGTCATATAACTGTACCATGAGGATCAAAATCTTTATAGTAGTCCGGACAGCTCTGCTCTGTTGGTCCGGCTTCAGTTTCATCCCAGCACAGCCACCCATCCCACGTGGTGTTGCACACTGGCCCTGCTCACAAAAGACACACACTGATATGTCAGTTAGAGTGAATAAATATGGGAGATCTAAATCAGTCCTAGGATCTGATCTCTCACCTATTGATTTGGTTCTGCGGTGGGAATCTTGTACCATCCTCTGGAAACACTCGTACTGGGCCGTGGCGATTTGGTTCAGATGCTCCAGCAGGTCATCTTCAGGGGTTGCCATCACAAGCAGCTGTCGACACAATTGGAAACACACACAGATGCACACTTGTAGAGATTAGTGTGCAACGCTCCAGCCAGCACCAACACATGAGGATTTATGTGGATAAAATACACAATTTAGATGTATTGATTGATACATTTTATTTTTAAGTAAAATAAATAATTACTATCATTTTTGCAGTGCATAGTCATGTAAGAGAAAACAAAACAAAGTGACATTTACAACAACAACAACAACAACAACAGCATTAGCAACATCAACAGTCCCACATAGTGTTCGAAAAGGAGTGAGAAGAATTATAATTTATTTAATCTCACCCCCAAGATCATTCCATTGCAAGTCCAGATTCTCAAGTAGGAGAAAATGTCTTCAGGCCACTTGGGAAACTAACATCTATCCCGAGTTGCATCATGGGAAGTGTAGGGTCAAAGTTAACCTTTTACTATTAGTATAACGTGTGTATATCTGAGCTTCTACTGCTGTGATTTAGCTCGTTTTTCTTTTAATCCTTCTCTCACAAGTTACTCAACTTTATGGAAGGGCAATACAAAATCAATGACTGCATCAGGGGGGGTTTAAATATTAATCAATACAAATAATGCATTTCAAATGACAAGTATGGAATGTATGGAAGCAGTTGACTTGGTGTGGATCCACAGGGGATCATCTATCCTCTAATGTCAACAATGCATTGCCCAAATACATCAAATACACTCCTAATTCAACCTTTAAAACTGAATGAATTATATAAAAGTCAATGGTAAAGCTGCAAAGAATGCAAAACAAGCATGCACAGGTGACATATGGCGCAGTTAAGATACCTTATTGAGGGTGCAAAAGACCAGGAGAGACATGACGTAGTTTCGTTCCATCGTGGATTTTCTGAGGAAAGTTTGTCACTGAGAAAACAAAACATATTATAACTTGAGCTGTACAAGAAAACAAAACTTCACATGTTGCATTTATTTTAAATTCATAAGTCATGTAAACAAAACTGTCAGTAAAACTATGTATCCAAACCCGGGTCTTTCATTTTTAAAGGCAGGTCACCCCTTTTTGGAAATTAGGGGTTACAGATGTGACCTTTAGCTTCCTCTGTTCCCCACAGCTTCCTTCCTGCATGCTTATTAAGCACGTTGAGCAAGTTGAACCAAGGTTTAGCCAAAAGACATTACCGTGGCAAATGCAGTAAAAGCATGCCCCATGAGAAGTAGAACATCTATCTAAATGATAATACAAATGTTAAGCGATTGATGTGTTGACAGTCGATGGAACAGTTCTAATGGTGGTAAAAAAAGATCACAATAATAACCAAAAGCATTCAAAGCAGTAACAATCGACAGAGGTATGGTTTGAATGTTATTATATTGAATTACTTAAGAAATAGAAGTCCCTCTCAATCACAATCTATGGGTGTATTGTGGAATGTTTTCATTATGAGCTGCACCTTGCCAAACACTTTTATTAAGAGGGGAGCTGCCATGTGGATTTGCTGTAGCTTTATTAGCATTAAATACATCAAAAAGCAATATACCATGATACTCTGTGAGCAAGTGAGTACATGGAAGCTTTCAGTTGTACTGTACCTGGTTGTTTCATATGTTTGAAAGGGTATATATTATTAGAATGTTATACTTGTTAATGTGTTTTAGAGATTTCTTTATTAAACCTTTATTTAACCAGGTGGTCCCATTGAGATCATCGATCTCTTTTTCAGATCAACCTGTCAGATACAAATATATATCAAGGACTTATGTCCACATAAGCATAAACAGTTCAAAAAGACATTCACAAATGAACACTTCCCCTTTCTGGGTACCATAAGAGTGTTCCAACAGCTATCACAGTCTACATGCTGAGAAACTGTTACAAGCGTACCTTCACAGGAGCTACTTTTTCCACTTCTTGAAGATTGTTCCTTGAGTCGCAGTTTACCTTGGCAGGGAAAGAATAGCTGTTTCCAAGACTTCCTTTGGAGTAATCCTTGAGGCATGTGTTTCACAACAGAGTCAGAGAGTCACTGAGCAGAGGAGAGCTGACTGAGCTCAGGATGACATCACAGATAGAGGACATCCCTTCAGAAGAATGTCCGTACAAAGGGTTGATGACATTACACCGTATCCTTTATATTATGTATATGATATTTGATCAGTTGATCTTTAGAGTCTTTGAATCATATACAATGCTTGTTTTTCTGTTGACATATTTCATCTGTAGCTGTCATGGTTATGAATATTGTTGCACATTGGGGAACTGATTTACATGGCAGAAAGAAATACTACGGATATGTTTCAAGGACTTTCTTATCATTTAGCCAATAAATACTGAGCAGCGTTCAGACTATATAACCATCATGGTCCCTGGTAGACCCCTACACAGACTACATAACCATCATGGTCCCTGGTAGACCCCTACACAGACAATATAACCATCATGGTCCCTGGTAGACCCCTACACAGACTACATAACCATCATGGTCCCTGGTAGACCCCTACACAGACTATATAACCATCATGGTCCCTGGTAGCCCCTACACAGACAATATAACCATCATGGTCCCTGGTAGACCCATACACAGACTATATAACCATCATGGTCCCTGGTAGACCCATACACAGACTATATAACCGTCATGGTCCCTGGTAGACCCCTACACAGACTATATAACCATCATGGTCCCTGGTAGACCCCTACACAGACAATATAACCATCATGGTCCCTGGTAGACCCATACACAGACTATATAACCATCATGGTCCCTGGTAGACCCATACACAGACTATATAACCGTCATGGTCCCTGGTAGACCCCTACACAGACTATATAACCATCATGGTCCCTGGTAGACCCCTACACAGACAATATAACCATCATGGTCCCTGGTAGACCCCTACACAGACAATATAACCATCATGGTCCCTGGTAGACCCCTACACAGACTATATAACCATCATGGTCCCTGGTAGCCCCTACACAGACAATATAACCATCATGGTCCCTGGTAGCCCCTACACAGACTATATAACCATCATGGTCCCTGGTAGACCCCTACACAGACTATATAACCATCATGGTCCCTGGTAGACCCCTACACAGACTATATAACCATCATGGTCCCTGGTAGACACCTACACAGACTACATAACCATCATGGTCCCTGGTAGACCCCTACACAGACTATATAACCATCATGGTCCCTGGTAGACCCCTACACAGACTACATAACCATCATGGTCCCTGGTAGACCCCTACACAGACTATATAACCATCATGGTCCCTGGTAGACCCCTACACAGACTATATAACCATCATGGTCCCTGGTAGACCCCTACACAGACTCTATAACCATCATGGTCCCTGGTAGACCCCTACACAGACTATATAACCATCATGGTCCCTGGTAGACACCTACACAGACTATATAACCATCATGGTCCCTGGTAGACCCCTACACAGACAATATAACCATCATGGTCCCTGGTAGACCCCTACACAGACTACATAACCATCATGGTCCCTGGTAGACACCTACACAGACTACATAACCATCATGGTCCCTGGTAGACACCTACACAGACTACATAACCATCATGGTCCCTGGTAGACACCTACACAGACTATATAACCATCATGGTCCCTGGTAGACCCCTACACAGACTACATAACCATCATGGTCCCTGGTAGACACCTACACAGACTATATAACCATCATGGTCCCTGGTAGACCCCTACACAGACTATATAACCATCATGGTCCCTGGTAGACCCCTACACAGACTACATAACCATCATGGTCCCTGGTAGACACCTACACAGACTATATAACCATCATGGTCCCTGGTAGACCCCTACACAGACTATATAACCATCATGGTCCCTGGTAGACCCCTACACAGACTACATAACCATCATGGTCCCTGGTAGACACCTACACAGACTATATAACCATCATGGTCCCTGGTAGACCCCTACACAGACTATATAACCATCATGGTCCCTGGTAGACCCCTACACAGACTATATAACCATCATGGTCCCTGGTAGACCCCTACACAGACTCTATAACCATCATGGTCCCTGGTAGACCCCTACACAGACTATATAACCATCATGGTCCCTGGTAGACACCTACACAGACTACATAACCATCATGGTCCCTGGTAGACACCTACACAGACTCTATAACCATCATGGTCCCTGGTAGACCTCTACACAGACTATATAACCATCATGGTCCCTGGTAGACCCCTACACAGACTCTATAACCATCATGGTCCCTGGTAGACCCCTACACAGACTATATAACCATCATGGTCCCTGGTAGACCCCTACACAGACTACATAACCATCATGGTCCCTGGTAGACACCTACACAGACTCTATAACCATCATGGTCCCTGGTAGACCCCTACACAGACTATATAACCATCATGGTCCCTGGTAGACCCCTACACAGACTATATAACCATCATGGTCCCTGGTAGACCCTACACAGACTATATAACCATCATGGTCCCTGGTAGACCCCTACACAGACTATATAACCATCATGGTCCCTGGTAGACCCCTACACAGACTATATAACCATCATGGTCCCTGGTAGACCCTACACAGACTATATAACCATCATGGTCCCTGGTAGACCCCTACACAGACTATATAACCATCATGGTCCCTGGTAGACCCCTACACAGACTACATAACCATCATGGTCCCTGGTAGACCCCTACACAGACTATATAACCATCATGGTCCCTGGTAGACCCTACACAGACTATATAACCATCATGGTCCCTGGTAGACCCCTACACAGACTATATAACCATCATGGTCCCTGGTAGACCCCTACACAGACTATATAACCATCATGGTCCCTGGTAGACCCCTACACAGACTATATAACCATCATGGTCCCTGGTAGACCCCTACACAGACTACATAACCATCATGGTCCCTGGTAGACCCCTACACAGACTATATAACCATCATGGTCCCTGGTAGACCCCTACACAGACTATATAACCATCATGGTCCCTGGTAGACCCCTACACAGACTATATAACCATCATAGTCCCTGATAGACCCCTACACAGACTATATAACCATGATGGTCCCTGATAGACCCCTACACAGACTATATAACCATCATGGTCCCTGGTAGACCCCTACACAGACTATATAACCATCATGGTCCCTGGTAGGCCCCTACACAGTCTACATAACCGTCATGGTCCCTGGTAGACCCCTACACACACTACATAACCGTCATGGTCCCTGGTAGACCCCTACACAGACTATATAACCATCATGGTCCCTGGTAGACCCCTACACAGACTACATAACCATCATGGTCCCTGATAGACCCCTACACAGACTACATAACCATCATGGTCCCTGATAGACCCCTACACAGACTACATAACCGTCATGGTCCCTGGTAGACCCCTACACACACTACATAACCGTCATGGTCCCTGGTAGACCCCTACACAGACTATATAACCATCATGGTCCCTGGTAGACCCCTACACAGACTATATAACCATCATGGTCCCTGGTAGACCCCTACACAGACTCTATAACCATCATGGTCCCTGGTAGACCCCTACACAGACTCTATAACCATCATGGTCCCTGGTAGACCCCTACACAGACTCTATAACCATCATGGTCCCTGGTAGACCTCTACACAGACTATATAACCATGATGGTCCCTGGTAGACCCCTACACAGACTATATAACCATCATGGTCCCTGGTAGGCCCCTACACAGTCTACATAACCGTCATGGTCCCTGGTAGACCCCTACACACACTACATAACCGTCATGGTCCCTGGTAGACCCCTACACAGACTATATAACCATCATGGTCCCTGGTAGACCCCTACACAGACTACATAACCATCATGGTCCCTGATAGACCCCTACACAGACTACATAACCATCATGGTCCCTGATAGACCCCTACACAGACTACATAACCGTCATGGTCCCTGGTAGACCCCTACACACACTACATAACCGTCATGGTCCCTGGTAGACCCCTACACAGACTATATAACCATCATGGTCCCTGGTAGACCCTACACAGACTATATAACCATCATGGTCCCTGGTAGACCCCTACACAGACTCTATAACCATCATGGTCCCTGGTAGACCCCTACACAGACTCTATAACCATCATGGTCCCTGGTAGACCCCTACACAGACTCTATAACCATCATGGTCCCTGGTAGACCTCTACACAGACTATATAACCATGATGGTCCCTGGTAGACCCCTACACATATAACAACACATATGCTATAAAACCCTTTCTTGTGAAATACAAATGATGTGCAATATATATATATATATATATATATATATATATATATATATATATATATATATATATGCCGTTAATAACTGTTCAATGTAAACCTGGCTGCTATATCTCAGAACTGTTACAGGATGTGTATTTACTAAATATTGTAATGTTGCTTCTTAGTTGATGTTAAGCTGTCTTTGGCTCCGCTGTAACACATGTACATTTCCCCTCTGTGGGACGAATGAAGGCATTCTGATTCTGAATCTGTCTTATAATGAATCCTAAGCTCCAACAATGCTCATCAGATAGCCGATGTGAAAACAAAGAAAACCACCAAAGTAAAAGTGAGAATCTCAGAAATGAATCGGTGCAAACATTGTCCTAAAATATCAACAGAAATACATTTATAGAATAAAGTTATCTTCATACAGAAGTGTAAAGAGGAATGCAGTCAACAGTTATATTCATGCGTACAAAAAGATATGAACAGATTGTAAAACAGTCAATTAAAAGTGTAAAGTGTTTATTATAGTAATAATGAGAAAATTCCAGTTTCCAGAGAGCCAATCCTACAAGATTACAGACTGGCTATTATGTATTACTATAAATAAACTATATTATATCAAAAAAGGGTTATTTTCACTAAATGACTGAACTTGAAATTGGAGACTAATCAGCAACAGTTTATATTCTTCAGCAG